CTTCTTCCTCAATTAATCCCAACTACTTGGGGTCCACCCTTATCCTAAACTTTCACTTGACACGGTCTCCCACATCCTCTACACTCACATCAGTTATCCTCATATCGCATTTAATTAAATTTCTCCATTTCTTTTTTGGTCTTCCTCTACCTCTTCTTCCTTCAACATTCATTTCTACAACTGTTCTTACAGCTTCTGATTCTTCTCTCCTCATAACATGACCAAACCATGTAAGTCTATTTTCTCTCATCTTATTCACGATTGACACTACACATATACTCCCTCTTATATGCTCGTTCCTTATCCTAATCTTTTCTAGTTACTCCACTCATCCATCTAAGCATTCTCATCTCTGTTCTACTTTCTTATCAACCGCCCAACACTCTGAACCATACATCATAGCTGGTCTCACTACAGTCTTGTAGAATTGACCTTTCAGCCTCATAGGAATTCTTTTATCGCATAAAACATCAAACGCTACTCTCCAATTCAACCACCCGCACTTAATCCTGTATTTTACATCCTCATCAATATCACCACTCTTTTGCATAACTGAACCTAAATATTTAAAACTTTCCACCTCTCCGATCACGTCCTCACCTATTGTCACTGATCTCCTCATTTCACCTACCTCGTGTTCTCTTTTGTCAAATTCGTACTCTATATACTCTGTCTTACTTCTACTTATTCTTAAACCCATTTCTTCAAACATTATTATTATTCATTGAAAGAAATCACGTACTGTTACTAATAAATAACATAATAGGTGTTAACTTCTGTACTTTACATAATATGGACTAAGATTTGATACTATAGGAAAAATGTAAAAAAAATCAAAATTTAACAAACCTTAAAATGCTATATAAACGTTACTACTGTATTAAAATAAGACTTTTAGGTATTAAAATTTTTCATTAAAATCTCATCTTCAAATCTTATAAAAAAAATTTTAATAAAAAAATTAATTTTTAAAATATTTTTTTGTAATTGCGAAAAATAACATAAAACATATTTAAAATATAGTTCTATATTGTAAAAATTGATTAAAAAAAAAGTATAAAATGTTCTGTAGATCATGAGTTATATGAGTTAATCAGATCTGTTCCACTCTGTTTATAAAATCTTTCAATAATACACTGTTTACTAGGATAATAATATTTATTAATATTATAATATGTATTTATTAATTTGTTTTTTTTTTTACAATCTGCATGTTTTTTTTTATAATCACTAACAACTTGTAACGAAAAAAGTTTTTATCTTATCCTTTGTTATTATATTCTTTTTGTCATGAATGAGTTTTACTTCTCTTTCAGCATAGTCATTAACTAACTTGTTAGATATGTTCATTATTAAGGTATTTTTTGTGTAATCTACTAAAAAATCACTGCTTAATTCAGTTATTAACCTCTTGTAAAACGTATAGGGTTGATCAATCTTGACCAAATTCTATAGAAATAATTGTTATTATAGTTTAATAATTTTAGAGGGTGAGATCGAATTTCAAAATTAATACAAATAACAATAAATTTCATGATTTCAACGGAATATATATTTTAGATACCCCATAAATATCCACTTATAAAATTCTTCTCATCAGAAATATCCCACTATCCAACACTATATGTATCAAAACTAAAATGTTTGGTAAAAATTAATTTAAGAAATATAATATAGGTAATTTTAATTTTAAAATCAGTAATAAACTATGTAACCATGTAAATATATAATAAAAACTAAATAGTTATTCAAGTGATTGTTATTCGTAAATTCAATTAAAAGTTTATTACAACTGTTTTATTGCTTAAAATATATCATAGAAATGTAAATATAAAATGAGAAATTTTATAAGATTTTTTTTTGATAAGGGAATCACTTCTTATATCTTTCCTTGGATATTTAACTAATAGTAATACTTATATTAATACATTTGATAGGTGCCTTAAAACCTAACAAAGAGATAAACAAAAAAATAATAACTTATTTATTTTTAGCTAGATAAAATTTTTTTATTTATTATTACATTGGTCATTGGCTTGTCATTTGATTACAATGCGTATATTTTAATATTTTTTATAATACAATTTGTGGAATATTGTATTATACAATTTACATCTAATTTACAAGCATGGCCCGGATAGCTCAGTCGGTAGAGCATTAGGCTTTTAACCTAAGGGTCCAGGGTTCAAGTCCCTGTCCGGGCGGAAAACTTTTTGAATTTTTATATACAATTTGATATGAGGATATTGATATTGACACTATAAGGCGTATCTTTGGATACTGTGTTATTCATAGGCATAGGATGGTTAATTTTTGGGGTGGGAGGGAGACTAAATTTAATTTTTCCTCAAAAAAATAATTTCTATATAAAAATGCGTATATTTTGCTAAATTCCTGTGGAGGCTATATTGTAAACTGAGGTACTAAATCTCTATCCCACGAGAATAAGGTTTCGACTCCTTTTTGCGCATATATATATTTCGATTCTGAATTTGTAGAAAATGGATTTTTCAGTCAATCTTTCTCTTCAATTCATATTTAATACATGTTATAGTTGTCCTACATGAATTGATTGGGTTAGATTATTAATTATCTTTTCGTTTTGATATTATGATTAGTTTAATTAGTATACAGATACTTTCTGTCGATATTTTTCATTTTATTTATAAAATTATAAAACAAAATTTGTTGATATATTTAATCAAGTTTATTGTTATATATATCATTTGTTTGAACTTTGACTTTATAATCAGATTACTGTTCAAATGTACTTTATTCGCTTTGAACTTTTTTATGTCCACGAATAGTTTATTTTATAATACGATTTTGCATTTGCGCATGTCAATTTATTTTGTAAATTATATCAAGGATTGTTTAATAAGTTATATATAAATTTCAGGAGGATCATAAGTATAGAAGTTTGTACTGTCATAATCAGAATAGTACAGTATTGTTAATAATAGTATCTCATATATGATGTATAAGTCTGATTTTATCGTAAAAATTGAGATCTATCTATGACAACTATGCTGTCCAACGTCTAATCACAGTAACCAATATTCTTATCAAAATTGAATTTTTTACATATTCCCAGTAATAACCTGACTAATTTTTTTGTAATTATTCTATATTATACCTTAGTAAACAAACGTCAACCTTATACCCAATACATATTCCTATATTATCTTTTTGAATTTTCCAGATTTTAATTATTAAATTTTTAATATATTTTTGTTACACTGATCCTTATGTAATATTTTTCCTGCAAAGTACTTAGCAGGGTACTCCTACTTGAATCGGTGACCTACTTATGAGGATGATCCAAAAAGGCTTACGAGCCGAAGTCCTTTGAGGCCTAAAGTCAGGAGTGGTGCCCCAGCTAGGCGAGTCTAATAATAAATTATTATTTCTACAATAAAAAGGAAATTTCTGAAGAAAAAAACGGCCCCTATGCTTATGAAACAGATTAAATAATAACTACATTAATTAAAGCTTTGATTTTGCTGTAAAATAAAACTTAAATAAGAACAGAAATAATCGAAATAAAGTAATTGGTTGTTCACATTCAAAAATGTCTACATTTACCCAAAATCTAAAATTATGTTCAATACTATATCAATAAAATAATTATATAATTTGGAGAATTAACTCATGTAGTTGAATCAATTATAAAATATAGTTAATACATTTATTTATCAAATATTACTTAATTACTTTAAAATTTAACATGTAATTTAGGGGTTTTTGAAATTTCTAAGTCAACTCTCCCAAAATCTACCGACCTCCATGAGATAATTTTAGTAGTTACACCACTACTCATGATAAAATGTAATGCAATTTCTACATAATAATGATTAAATTTACAATAATCGTAGTTATTATAAAAAGTTTAATTGAATTTAAACATTGATTATCGCTTAAATAAGTAAAATTAAGTGTTAAGTTCAATATAGAATTAAGATTGAAAGTTTTTGTTACAGTAAATGTGTGCCCGGATAGCTCAGTCGGTAGAGCATTAGGCTTTTAACCTAAGGGTCCAGGGTTCAAGTCCCTGTCCGGGCGGAAAACTTTTTGAATTTTTATATACAATTTGATATGAGGATATTGATATTGACACTATAAGGCGTATCTTTGGATACTGTGTTATTCATAGGCATAGGATGGTTAATTTTTGGGGTGGGAGGGAGACTAAATTTAATTTTTCCTCAAAAAAATAATTTCTATATAAAAATGCATATATTTTGCTAAATTCCTGTGGAGGCTATATTGTAAACTGAGGTACTAAATCTCTATCCCACGAGACGCCTAAGTGTTATCACTTAATACATGAACTACTTGACACTGTCACCCGTGTAACACTCTGCGGTCGTGCCAGTTCCTTTTCAGCCACCGCAACACTGTAAATTACACTAATGAACATAATGGGGGTAATAGAATAATATTTACAATTTTTTGGATTTTTACAAATATTAAAAAATTAGTTTCATAAGTTATGTATAAATATTTTTAGTTATTAAATATTTTCATAGTTTAACAAAATTGCAATGTACATGTAATGAATGTATTGTAGCCAGAGTAACTGAACGTCACATGCCTGACAATTAAACAAGCAACCTACTAGTCATAGAAGGGGGCAAAATATTTGGTTACACTGTTAGCCTAACAGACCCCCCGACATTAAAGAGGTATACTAAGAGTGTACAGTAAATACAACTAGCTCAAAAAAGTTATTCTAATAGGCGTCTATAGGTCTAACAGGAAAAAAGTTAAAATGCAAGATTTTTTGGTAGTTTTATATAATAAAAATTATGAGTATTTGTAAATTTATTAAATTTACAAATTAATATAATCAGACCCATATAATTTTAAAAACTAATTATTAGCTGATAAATCAATTATTGTATTTAACTAAAAGAAATAAAAAATTATTTTTCCAGTATTGTATTATATACAAATAATTTTTATTTTGCTAGTAATCAAGTAGTATATAATAAGCCAATCATGGTGTGTATTTAGCGATTTATATGTATTATAAAATTAAGTGTCTCTATAAATGTAATAAATTAAAACCAAACCAACATGTCATTATTAATCTATAAAAGCAATGCTTTTATTCTTGAAATTTATAATATTATGAATAATCGTTTTATATTATAAAATTATATAATACTAAATAATATTATGAAAACTAACCAATCAAAAAGTCAAGGGGGGCAACTGTCCCCTAAGATAAAAATTTTTAAGCAGATAGCTTAAGAAAAAGGGTTTCATCTCTCTTTCTCTGTCTTTTAAGACATCCCATATTATATCTTACATTAATAGTAATAATTATATTATGATTCATTTTTTTTAAATAATATATAAAATAAAGTAACTTTTTTGATATAAAACATGTATTATTTATTTGAGTATTTTAATTTATTTCTAAACTTTTTAGGATTAATTCCATATGCTTTAAGGCGATCATCTGTCAAAGATTCCAATACACTAGGTTCTTTTTCATTATATTGCTTGTTATGTGTTTTTTTCTTTTTGTTAAAACTATTCAAAGTTGGCTCTAATTTTCTTTTAACACCCTTATTTTTATTTATACTCATATTTTTCTTTTTTAAATCTTTTGTCTTAAACTTGTTATTTCTAATATTTATATTATTATTGTTACTAAGTGTAACATTTTCAGATACTACAACATTTTTCAAAGTTTCTTTGGTCTGACAATTATTGTTAGAAGAAATTTCAGTTTTATTTTGAAGTATTTGGTTGTTATTCTGTTTATTAGATGTATCAGTATTTACTTTGAAAACATTAGTTTTTAATGACTTTTTAATTTTCTTTTTTGTCTTTTTGTTTTTTGATTTCTGATTTTCATTTTCAAGTAATTCATTTCTGTAAATACCAACAATTATTCAACTATACTTAATACATAATGAATTAAAAACTAGTTAAATAAGATATTTCACATACTCTTTTTTGAACAAACTTGACAATAACTTTTGCTTCAGTTCAATATCATTAGCTTTTCTTTTATAGATTTTTGCCTCAAATTTTTGTACAGCTTCTGGTTGAATTTTAGATAATTTTCCAATAGGATACCATTTATTAAGTTCTTTATCATCTGCTAATAAAATCTGTCACAAATAAATTTAATTATGTACACTTATAAATTGTCTATAATATTATTTATATACCTCTTCAATTGTTAGGCCATAGTCATTAGGAATAACTTTGTTGTATGAATATCTAGTTGGTACACCACTAACAATATCTTCACATTCCAAACTGTAATACTCATCAATATATTTTTCAAATGATCCCATTGAAGGATCATACTTTGGAATCTGTTTTTTCGAAATGAAATTGTTATCTTTATCTTCAACTTCTTCAACAATGGTCTTCTTTTTTTCTTTTCGTTTAGCAGCTCTAGTTTTTTTTTTATTTCTTTTATCTAAACTAGGATCATACTCACAGTCCATCTAAAATAACAGAAAGTTAATTCATAAATATAACATTTATCACCTAATTTATTAATATATTTACAATAAACTCATCTTCATCTTCATCAAATACTGGTTTTTCATCACCATCCATTTGATCATAAAATTCTTCATCAAATAATTGTTGCATTTTTTGGTCATACTCAGATGGATTAAATTCCTTTTCTAAATCTGTATTCTACAAAATAATAATAATAAATTATCGAAATATTAATAAAAGTCATAGTTTTTGTTAAATTATACCTCAAATCCTATACTTTTATTGCCGGTAATTTCTTGAATTTTTTTTATTCTTTCAATTATTTCTTGTTTTTTAATTTTTTTTAATTTTTTTATTTCAAGAGAGCGTTTTTCATATTCTTCTTTTTTTCTTTGAGCTAATTCTTCACGTTTAAGTTTACGTTTTTCTTCTTTTCGACGCAAAGAGCTTTCCATTGTACGTGGATAAGTTTTAATCTAAATAAATTCAGAATTTTTAATGTTTCATATCTTCAGCAATAGATATATAATAGATATTGATCTTACAAATTCTTTATCTGGTTCTTCATATCGAAAATTGTATTTATGTTCAAATTCTTCATGTTTTTCAAGCATTTCATCTTCTTCAGAAAATTGCATTTCATCATCCTCAAAGTTTTCATTAGTTTTTTCCAAGAATCTATCATTTTAAATTAAGTTAATAAGTTGATTATACTTAATATTATATTAATAAATCAAATACTAAATTTTATACCTTTTATTCAATATGTAATCACATAAAAATTGTTCTCCTTCTTCTAAATTCGGGTTATTCCAATAGTCATGTAAAGGCTGAAGTTCTTTTTTAGTTTCTTCGTCTTCAAGTTCATCTTTATTACCTTTTAACCATTCTAAGTAATCTTTTTCTTCTTTTTCCTGAAAATCATATTATAGTAATTATTAAACAATAATGATAGATTAAATATTCAACTTTTAATTGTTATTAAAATATAATATGTAGTAGTATTTGATAATCTATGTCTTGGATCTAATTTAAAAAAAAACCAAGGTCTATCATTTAACCATAAATAACAAGCTAATATTAGTTTAATATACATTTTTCACCCAAAGAAACTGTGTACAGAATGATTAATTTTGAGTAACTTATTTTCTAAGAAACTATTGAAAACTTTAAGCGTTTGTTTTTAACATTCATTTGATTAAAAAATTTAAATCTAATTTTATTAAATGAGAACCTCTATAACTTAATAGAAAAAAAAATTACAAACAATTCTACTTTTACATTACATTGAGTAGGAAATGTAGCACGTGTTAGTATTGTTTATATAAGTTACAATTTATTTACAATTCAGATAAATTTTCTCTTTTTAAATTTAAAATCATTTCTAAAAAAATGAGGGTCCTACCTAAAATTGTTTACTATGTATATAAATCATAAGAAATGTTAAATATATTATAATATAATCTAACTTTACTATACATCACAAATAATACTTTTAATTAAACTTCATAATTTTTAAATTATAATTTATGTGAAATTTACCAGCTGTTCTTTACTTTTGACACATGGTTTTAATATATCTTCATCATCATCAGAATTATTTAGAGCGTCTTTAAAACTTTCTTTGATAGCTTTCTGTTCTTCTACATATGTGGGTGATGATGCACGAAGATTGTTTTTATGACCACTACCTAAGTAGTAAAAGGGTAAGTAAAAAAGTTAAATATAAGTTGATTTTTGTAAATTTTATCATACAAAGACTTTTTTTAATACATTTCAAACTAACAAACTTTTAAAATAACAATAATTAAATTTTATAAGAAATTCTTTAAATAAATAACTTACTAATACCATCCTTATTGTCATCAAATTCTGGTCCCTTTTCTAATAATATTTTTCTTTTATATTCTTCAATAAAAAGCGGATTTGATTTCTTTGTTTTATTGTAATTAGATTTTGCTGAAAATTTTTGGGCACATGATGGGTCAAAAAACCTAACAGATTCATCATATATTTTGGGATCATCTTTTTTTAAATAGGATAAAGTTTTAAAAAAATTCTTCTCTAATTCTTCAGTTAATTCCTATAAATATTTATATATAAAAATTGATACTATAATATATAAATTTTTTTTTTAGATTGATACTTTGGCTTCATCATCCTCTTCTTCGTCTGAACTCGTACTTCCCAAGTTATTGTTCCCAACACGATTCATATTATACTTTAAATGTATATAAGGTATATACAATATGTAGTATGTACTTGAAATTATGTAATGAAAGTTTCGTCGAAGAATATTAAATGAGAAGATACAAAAAACGCGTGCGATGTTGCTTAACAAAACATGTTATCATTCATTCAAACTTTAGATAAATGTTATCAACTAATCTACACAATTAACATAGGAGGGGATGAATCATGTATCAACCTAGTCTAGTTATTTTGTGAAAGAAACATAGAATAGAGTTAAGTCACAGAATAGATAAATCCAGAAGTGACACTCTTAGTTTTTGCTGATAACAAGCTTATGTCGCTCAGTGTAGCCACTTAAGAAAAAAAAATGTATTCCCTTTTTTCTTTACATACGGTCACATTGTTCAACACCATTATTAATGGTTTGTTTGTAAACACAATGTTTATAAACATGGTTTATTGGTAAATATGAAAAATATATGGTAAATATTGGTATTAATGAATTAGAAAATATTTTTATTAATAACTTTTCCACACTTGCTATTGTAGATGGAGTTGGAGCCGAATTAAAAAATTATTTTTGTAATGTACCTTTTAACCACCCTTGTAAATGTTTTGATAAATTGTATTTAATTAATTTGTTTACAAGATTTAGAATATTTACAGCTATAAAATTTTTAAATAAAAATTTAATGTCTAAGAAAAAAATTAAAAATAGGAAATTGTCTATTTTAACTCATCTATAAATTATTTATTTATGTATATGATATTTGTAAATTATTGTAATATATGTTTTAAATAAATTTAATATTATGTGGATATTGAATAATTTTTTTTTCCTAAATAAGTCTTTATTAAATATACATAAAATAAAAAATATATTAAACAAACTAATTACACATAATGAAAACATTAATTGAAAGTTTTAAAATGGTGTTATATGTTTAGAAATAATAATAAAATAAATCCAAAAAATTTACTATGCAAATTTTCTAAAATAATTAGCATGTAAATAATACATTTAGAGTTCAAATCAACCGCCGATGTACAATTATTGTACAGTACAATGAATTATATGCATACAATTATTTATTTTATTGTTTTTATGGTAACACTGAGCGACATAAGCTCAAAATTACCGTACTCCCATAAGAATACATGTAATTTTTTTATCAGTGTCCATTCTGGTTTAATCTATTCTGTGGTTAAGTTTTGGACTGATTTATTAGTTTTACTAATGAATATTCATTTTACTATGCTCCTATCATAGTTGTACTAGGCCAAACTATATTCCTACTCTATGTATGTAAATATTTTCAACTAAGTAAGAACTTATCCTAAAATTGTTATTAACCTATCAACATTTTTGCAAGAAAAAGTCTAATTCTTATTATATTATAAAACATTGAAAAATTAGCCCATACTAGAAAAATTACTTAACGATTTTCAACTTTTTTTAATGAAAGAGCTCAACGACGTTATTCTAGGAAAATTATTCGCTATGCTGAGAAAACTTTTTTTAGCCCAACATGAGTGTTTAAAAATTTTATCAAAAACGCTCATAGCCGCCACCGTTTTTTGATTTAAAATCTGAGATTTTTACCAGACCTGTCCAAAAATATTCCAAAGGTGCCCTGAAAATGTCATTAAAATCTGTTCATTTTTGACCTTTTTTTTCAGTTCACGTGCATAGTTTTAAGTATAATATAATTTTGGTTTGCGCATGTCAATTTTGTTTAAATTTTATGCAAGTATACGCGTGTACTAATAACACGTTATTTAAGGATACCTTAGGAGTTCACCTAAATATGTTAGATAATAAACATATTATTAGGTAATTTTATTATTATTTCATGTAGCTAATAAAAATTATTGCATAGAATCTATAAAAAAAAAGTATTGTATGATACAAAATTTCATTTATTATCATTTTCATTATTAACTTTTTTTATTTCCTTTTCCTTTTTTGCAATTTGGAACAATTTTATAATTATTATATTATGCCTACCATCTTTTTCTTTGTGATAAGAGATTTTCTTACAGTTTCTACATAAAATGTTAATGAAAATTTGTATTGATATCTAATACGATTCTAATACAAATTTAAATATATGGTCTTTTATTTAAAATTCTATATTACAGTATATATTTCAACCAATACCTTAATTTCATAACATAATTTGATTAATATGATGATATCAAAGATAATGTTAAAATTAAAAAAATCCAGCACAGGGGGGTCGCGGCACAGTGGTGACGTGGCATAGTTGGATCAAGTATATTGATATCTGACAGTGATTAAAATCACTATCAATAAAAAACGCTTCGATGCAAATTTGTAGATAGTGTTTAATTTTAAAAAATAGGTGGATTATTCCAAAAGCAACATGATCTGCTAGTTCGTTATTAATATCCTGATTCAGATAAAGTATATCGAATGAAAGAGGGATTATTAAAAAATATTATTTCTCATAAAAAAATTATGTTTATTCATACACTTTTCAATATGTTATAGCATTATAAAGTTAAAAATAAAAAAATAAAATCGAGAATTTTCACACAATAATAGCATTTGTTAGCCAATTTCACCCTGAAGACAAAATAAAGTACGAAATTTTTTTTTTTTCACGATAAAGTATATTACATTAGCTTTAATTTAAGATATATATAAAAGTGTCAGACCTTCCGGAACACTTTCAAAAGTTAAGTTGAAAAAATTAATTTTTTGTGAAAAAGTTGTCATTTTAAATCCCCCCCTGTGGGCAGGTAAAAAGTCAGATTTATAAAAAAAATATACCAAATGATAGGTAATGACATCATGCATCTATAAAAAAAAGAATTATATTGATATGTTTATTTTTAAAAAAGTTACGGCAGTTTTTAGTAAAAAAAATTGAAAAAATTTCGAAAATTAGCCATTTTTAAATTAGTAATTTTTTCGGAGGTTTCCCCCATTAACGGGGAACGAGGGAATTTTTTTCAAGTTTTGAGGGTAATGTCTTCGACTAGATACGATTTGTGATCTTTTGACGTATCATTGAAAGAAATCGATTCGGTGAGAGCTGAGAAAAAGTGGTAACAGACACAAAAAAAAAAAAAAAAATAATAATAATAATAAACACATCTTAGTAAAACCAATACCTTCTCAGCTTCGCATCGAAGCTAATATTGTGATGACTTTAGCCAAAAATGTAAACTTTATACTCTTTACATTTCACTATTTACTATTTTTTAATTTTACTCGTTATATTAAATAAATTTTTAATATATTTTTGTTACACTGATTCTGATGTAATATTTTTCCTGCAAAGCACTAGGCAGAGTACTCCTACTTGAATCAGTGGTCTACTTACGAGGATAACCCAAAAAGGTTTACAAGCCAAAGGCGTTTGAGAATCGTAAGGACTCAAGTCTGGGGCGATGCCACAGCTAGGCGAGTCTAGTAATAAATATTTTGAAAAAATAAAAAAAAAATTTTTGTTTTAAGAGACAAATAACAAAAAATATGTTTTTAGGGTAATTCAAAACTGTACAAATTATTTTTAAAAAAACAATACAGTGGGGACAAGTATGAATGATCATTATCATTTTAAACGTTTCAATGCAAATCAGTTGTGTTTATTTTTAGAAGGATTTATTAAAATATTCCAAAAGCAATATTAACTTATAATACCTCAATTACATGCTGATTACAAGTTTTATAATTTATAAGTACAATACAGGAATAAATACATGTTTTATAAATTAAATTTTGTATGAAATTAATATTCAATAATTAAGTAATTATAAATATGAACTATCAAAAAAAGAAGAAAAAAAAATTATCTTTCCTAAAGTGATTATTCTGACATTTTCTTAACTATTATTTCAGTTATGTATTAAATTTTAATTTATTATAGAAATTATGATAAAATAATATAACAATAATATTAATAGTAATATTTTAAGCTTCGATGTGAAGCTGAGAAGGTATTAATTTTATTAAGATGTTTTTTTTTTGTGTCTGTTGCCACTTTTTCTCAGCTCTCATGGAACCGATTTCCTTTAAAGGTACGTCAAAAGATCACAAAATGTATGTAGTCGAAGACATTACCCTTATAAATTAAAAAAACTTAAAATTTAAAAATGGCTCATTTTCGAATTTTTTTTATTTTTTTACATAAAACTTCCATTACTTTTTGAAAAGTGTATGAATTCATACAATTCTTTTTAATAGATATATTACATATTAACCTATCATTTGTTAAAAAAAAATGTTCACAAAAAATTAACTTTTTCAATTTACCTTTTGAAAGTGTTCCGGAAATACTGACACTATTATATATATATATATAATTTAATATTATATATATTAAATTAAAGTTATTATAATATACTTTAATATGAAAAAAAACCCAGCACAGTGGTGACGTGGCATAGTTGGGTAAAGTATATGATATCTGACAGTGGTTAAAATCACTATCATAAAAAACGCTTTGATGAAAATCTTTAGATAGTATTTAATTTTAAAAAATTGATGGAATATTCCAAAAGCTACATGATTTGTTATTTCCTTATTTATATCCCTATTAATATATATGTTGAATGAAGAGGGATATAAATATTATTATTTCCTATAAAGAAATTATATTGATCCATACACTTTTCAATAAGTTATAGCATTATAAAGTTAATAATATAAAAAAGAAATTTTTTTACAAAAGTCGTATTTATTTTATTAACTCTGATGTTTGTTTCACCAGGAATACAAAATAAAGTCCAACATTTTTTTTTTCCATAATAAAGTATATTACAAGTTTAATTGAGTATATTAAGTTTCATTTAAGATATATATAAAAGTGTTTTAAATTACCCCCTGTGGGCAAGTAAAGGATCAGATTTATAAAAAAAATATACCAATGATAGGAAAAGACATTATGCATCTACAAAAAAAGAAATTATAATGATTTGGTTACTTTTACAAAAGTTATAGCAGTTTTAAGTAAAAAAAATTGAAATAGAAATAGAAAAAACACGGGGGTAAAATCAAAGATCCGGTGATTAAAATTTAAAGGGCAAAATGTTGCAACTTTGATTTTAAGAGCCTAAGTAATAAAGTGAATTTGGGGCCTCTTTAAAAAAAAATTCCCTGTTGCACTTTGAATCTTTTTATAAAGCCATCAAATTTTTTTAATCTATTTACATCACAATTTGGAAAAATTGAAACAATATAAATATACCACATAGTCAAAATTACATAATATCTAATTTTAATGTTTAAATTTATGCTATTACATTTATATTTAATAATTATTTGATACTTTATATAATTTTTTTAACTAAGATTATCGAAAAATTTTCAAAACAATTCTTCAGACAAGTGTTTGATTTATTTCAAAATTAAATCTCTAAATTTATTTAAGAAAGAATTTGTTGAGTCTACATTCTTAAATATGAGATTAAATGTTACTATCAATTTAATGTTTAAATTCATTTTATTATATAAATAAGAACAAATTGAATACACAAATCAGTTTTATCTCTAATTTTATTAGTCAAGTATTTTTACCTTTTATTCTTAAAAGCTATGTATCCTCCCACTAATTAACAAATGCGACGATGTAGAGTTTCCTAGCTAAAAAAATGCTATATGGTTTGATATTTTCATGAGTTACGTTTTTTTTTGGCTTGTTACTTTTAAAAAAGTCAAACAATTTTTTTATGAAACGGCAAAATAATTTTTGCAAAGGGTTAAAACCGATACAGCCCACATAATTTATGGCTACTTTTACTAAATACAAACGTATCATGTTTTTTATCTTATTATATAATAGAACAAGGAACAAAACGCTTTTCTGGGAAAATTACTTAGCGTGCTTGGATTTTCAAAATTTTTTTTTAAACGAAAGTACTCGGTCACCAGACTCCAGGAAAATTATTGGCGAAGGTCGGAAAAGTTTTGCCGCTCGCCGGCGAGCGTTTTAAAATTTTGACCGTTTTCGAGAAAAACGCTCGATGAAGCTATCGTTTTACGACTTAAGGTTTGAAATTTTCATCAGACCCGCCCAATGACATTCCTGAAATATGATAAAAAAATCAATTCAATCCGTTCATTTTTCATCGTTTTACGAGCTTTTTTTTTTTTAAGTCCACGCGCATGGTTTTAATATACGCATTGACTCATTTCTGCTCATACGTTTATTCTGAACCTTAATTATATAGTATAATATGTATTTTTATTAGGACACTATTTTGTATTTGCACATAGTACTATATTTTATCGAGGAATATTATGTTACATATAAACTTCTAGACGGTTATAATTATATAAGTTTGTACTTTCATTATCAGAACAATACATTATTAATAATATTTTTTTTCTCATATATGATGTATGAGTCTATAAGTTTATCGTTTAAATTGGGATTCATTTATGACAACTATGCTGTCCAACGTTAAATTGCAGTTACCAATATTTTTATCAAAATTAAATTTTTTACATAGTCCACGTATAATAACCTGCTGAATTTTTTATTTAATATTCAATAATATAAACACAATTATTATAACTAGAATATTAATAATTTTTGCGTATTACCAGGGGTGTATTTAAAGGAGATATGGCCCCCCCTTGAACCAGCGCTATCAATATTTGTTTAGGTAACTTCTAATAAATAATATCCTGTTTTTTCATCATTACTTTGATTTTTAGCCAAAAAAATTCTATAACGCGTTTAACAAAGTAAAAAATATTAAATACCCTCCTAAAATAATTTTTGAATAGGCCTAAAGGGAATACCTCATTAACAAACGTTAACCTTATACCCAATACAATTTACTATATTCTCTTTTTGAATTTTCCTGATTTTAATAATAACATTTTTAATATATTTTTGTTACACTGATTGTAATATTTTTTCTGCAAAACACTTATCGTATCCGACGTAGCCGGGTACTCCTACCGGAATCAGTGGCCTACTTATGATGACGGCCCGAAGAGGCATACGCGTTGAAGGCGCGTATGGCTTGTACGGCCCCGGATCTGGGGCGTAGCCCCAGCTAGGCGGAGCCTGGTTATTAATAATTTATATTATTTTAATTAATTATTTATATATAATTTATGGTTAAGAAACCTCCTCCTTTGGGGAGGCCGCTGTGGCCCTTAATGGGCTAATANCATCATAAACAATTAAATCTATTTTTTCTTTTTATAATTTTTAGTATTAAATTTAGTTAAGAAAATTTATTAACATAATTCTCAACGGTGAAAATAAAAATTGACCATTAGTATAGTTACAAGAGATGACTAACCTATAAGGGTATTTTCAAAATAGAATAATTGCTACTAAACAAACTTAAAAAGATACCAGAAATTTAAAAAAGTATTTTAGCAATATTATATATAGATATAAATTACAAACAATAATATGGATGATATTTAATATAATTTATATCAAAATTGATAAAAATTATATTGATTTTAAGACCCGAATAAAACTAAATAACAAACGATCCAGCTAATATATTTATGTGGTGTAGAGGGTATGGATTTTCATCCTTACGATTCCATTAGCATTACACAATTCAGCACTCTCAAGATTTTGCTCTTACTGCACCACTGTGAACTGGTACACAGTACCAGTTTACTAAAGTAAACTTACTCAGGATTTTTTAAGGAAACTATTAAAAAAATCTTAGGTGAATAATGTAATTATAAAATTATCTTTACTCCTTTAATTCAAGTATATATAGTGGTGTATTCAGGGGCGTGGGTTAGATGGTTGTAAACCCCCTCAAAAACCATTAGATGTTCGATTCTTTTTTATTGTCCATAAAAAATTCAACTTAATGACTTTTTTTTACTCATCAATAGAGTAGCAATTAGCGATACAGAAGAAATAATACACCATTGAATACATAGAAATAACAATGTATTATTATTATAAGTATTTTTTAATTTTCTATAAAGTAAAAATAATATAACATATCTAATAGTTTATTATAAATATTAAATTATTTTGTTTAGAGCAAAAGACATTTTATGATTTAAGGTATACAATAATAGTATAGTTTTTTAAAGTCTTTAAAATATTGTATTTTTAGAGTAAATAGTAAATATTCATATTTGGTTACATAATCCACACCTATATTATATTAATCATAAATATTCATGCTTGTACTTAATTTAATTCTTCTTCATAATATCAAAGTCTTCTAAAGCCACTAATAATTTCTGAAAATTATTTAAATACCTCATGTCAATATGTCATCAATCATATCTTAATTTAATAAAGTTTTAATTTATATAAGATTTGAAGTGTTCAGTACAATACCGTAAAATAGGGCAACTTTTTATCTTAAATATAATTGTGAATCTAAAGAAAAGTGCATAAAAAAAGAGTAGAAACAATAATACGTCGAAGCAAACTTACTACACACTATGCCTATATATTTTATACAAAAATAATTTCCACTTATTTCACTACAAATATTATACTAGACAGTTTTATTTTGGTGCAATGTGGTACAAAGTAGACCTATTTTATGATAAACCGTTATTGAAATTATTTTTCATAATATTAATTTTATATTTTCTGGTAGAAAATAATTTTATGAATATTTTGTTGCAATCATCAAGGATATGTATTCATTTCAAAAGTTAATAATATTCAAATAAAAATATCAAGTATTCTAAATTGGGCACTAAAATTATTTAGTTTTTAGTATTTCCTAAATAATTTTAAAATAAAAAGATAACTAGTTATTTCCATCAAAAATCTTTGTTATTCCAACTGCAAAACCGTACCATAAATATTAAATCTATTTACCAAACTCTATGTTTATAAGATGAGAAATTTGACAAAGGTTCTAATGTACAAAGTGATTAGAAACACTTTCCATAAAAAGTTACAATCATATTTGGGATACAGTTATAAGATTCACAATAAAATTAATATTTACTGAAAAAAAACTTTGACGTATTCTTTACATTTCAAACTTACTTCTTCGCACTGAGGACATTTTCCTTGCAAATGTTTAAATGCTGGTGTACTTCCTGAATTTAACATCCACTGAAATCAAGTAATACAAAATATATTTTAAGATCAAATAAATTTTAATAGAATCATAACTTAATTAAAAACAACAAACTGTATAAAGTACTTAATGCATTATTATAAACATAAATATCCAACCAATGACTTTATTTATTTAAAAGAGAGCTTTGAATCAAAAACCTATGGTCATAAAATACCTTATAGGAAAAAATTAAATATTGATAACCCAAATTAAAATATTTATCAAATAAGCTTCAAAAATCTTCCCTGAAAAAAATTAAAACTAAAACTTATATATTATTTAATTTTTTAACTTTGATGCGAAGCTGAGAATGTATTAATTTTACAATGATGTGTTTCATTTGATATTTGAAGAGTGAATGTGTCAAACGTTCTATGTGCCAAAAAAGTGAAAAATTGTTTTATTTCTGATTTATGTTCTATGTACCAAAGGCCACAATCTTGTATGTGTTTCAAATGTCAATTAAATTTTTTACTTGTACAAAATTGCATTCATAGATAGTGTTCANTACTTGTACAAAATTTCATTCATAGATAGTGTTCATTATGTGAGACATGCCCATGTTACCATCGTTTTTTGTGTTTTCTGAACAAATATGTTTTTGGCACATAGAACGTTTGACACATTCACTCTTCATTTATTTCATTTAGATTCAATAACTTCAATAAATATAAAGGAACCAATCACTATAGTCTCCCCTTGTTAAAAGAAATTTATATTCATGTTAATATTATTTTACTATGTGGTTCTTTTTGTGGCTACGATATATTTTGCCAACCATCACTAGACCTACTTTTTCCAACGATACGATTACAATTCGTATTTAATTTAAGTTATTACTCTTAAAAATCGAAAAAATATTCCTTATTCAAATAAAAAGTAGCTTAACAAACTTTATCCATACAAACAATTAAAATCATTCATTTCTAATATTCTTAAAGTATTTATTGTCGAATTAGATTTGATATGATAAAAGTAATCAACTACAAAAGTAAATAATTTTACTTTGTAATGTATTCATTTTTTAACTCTATTTGTGTGTGCTACTACCAGCCTATAATATTCCAAATTTTTTTGCGCATTTTTTTTTTCATATTATAGTACATAAAATATAATAATTTTAATAAAAAGTATGTCAAATGGAAGATGTACTTATAATGTATTTAGAAAAAAAAAAATTTGTGCTGATACATACATTTTTCGAAAAGTTTTTTTAAGTTGAAAATTAAAAATCGAAAATTTTAACACAAAAATAGCGTTTTTTTAACTACGGCAGTCGTTTGCATGCAGAAGATAAAGTGTCGGGACAAATTTTTTTTTTTCATTTTATAGTACATAAAATAAGCTTTAATTTGATATATGTTTAAAGCACGCAGTATTTCCGGAACATTTTCAAAAATTAAATTGAAAAAGTTTTTGTAAAATAATTACTATTTTAAATCCCCTCCAATGAGCAAGTTAAGTGATAGATTTTCAAAAAAATGATATCAAATGAAAGGGACATATCTAAGGTTTTAGTATAAAAAAAAGATATGTTGATTTATTGATTTTTTAATAAGTTATGGAAGTTTTAAGAAAAAAAGTGAAAAAAAATGACAAAATTTGTCGATTTTTAAATTTGTAATTTTTTTGGATATTTCCCCCATTTGCGGAGAACGAGGGAAAATTTTTAAATTTTTAAGGACAATGCCTTCAACTAGATACAATTTGTGATCTTTTGACGTATTGTTAAAAGAAATCGGTCCAGTGAGAGCTGAGAAAAAGTAGTGACAGACACAAAAAAAATAAAAAAAATAAACACATCATGGTAAAATTAATACCTTCTCAGCTTCGCATCGAAGCTAAAAAAGTAGGTTCAAAATGATTACTTTTAACATATTAAAAATCAAAATCAATAATAATTTGAAAACAATTAATTTTAAAAATTATATAATATATAATTAAAAGAATGACTTATCTGGATATAATTAAGGAAATAGAAGTTGATTTTGCTTTTGGTATTATCCATCAATTTCTTAGAATTAAATACTATCTACAGATTTGCATCGAAGCGTTTCTTATGATAGTGATTTTAATCACGGTCAGATTAAATCTATAATGGACTCAACTATACAACGTCCCCACTATGCCGCGAACCCACCACTGTGCTGGGTTTTTTATAAAAGAGAATTTTAATGGGAGTACTTGCTACACCTCCCAATATATATGAATATACTGTTTGCATAAAGCATAGGCATAAATAATTACAAAAAAAAATGATAACATCATAAAGGTTGATTTTTTACACAAATATAAGATTTTTAGTTCATTGTCAGTTTGCATATAAATGATATTTTTTTTATTATAGTACATTATATAATATTTTTATGTTATATATGATTAAATGATGCAGCATTTCCGTAATATTTTTAAAATTTAAGTTGAAAATATTAACATTTATGCAAAAATGTATAAAAAAAGTTGCTATTTTGAATCCTTCTTGTAGGCTGATAAATGGTCAGATTTTCAAAAAAAAAATACACTTAAATTATTTCTTAAATTCAGGTCAAACTAAAAATAATTTTTTTAAGCTTTATGATTTATATAGCAACATGTTACCAAAAAATTTGGAATATTATACACTGGTATTAACACACATAAATAAAGTTAAAAATATCGGTGTACTCCACTTTTAAGAAATTTAAAAAAAAATAATAAAATACAAAACCAAGAATTTTAACACAAAAATAGCATATTTAAAAATATGCTATTTATATATTTTTGCATATTCTGAACTGCAATAATAGTTAAGAAAATGTCAGAATAATTACATTAGGAAAGATAATTTTTTTTCTTCTTTTTTTGATAGTTCATATTTATAATTACTTAATTATTGAATATCAATTTCATACAAAATTTAATTTATAAAATATGTGTATTTATTCCTGTATTGTACTTATAAATTATAAAACTTGTAATCAGCATGTAAATAAGAAAATAGAAATTAATTTACTTTTGGAATATCCAAAAATTACTTCAAAATTTTAACATTAATTATTTTTTTTAAAAATTGAAAACATTTTTCAATTTCAGAGTAATGTTTTTTTCTATATACGAATTTTAATATTTTGACTTATTATTGAAAAAAATAGTCTTATGAGAGCTAAGAAAAAGTGGTGACACATGAAAAAAATATAAATATAAATACATTATTATAAAATTATTTTCAGTCATTTTTTTTAACTTAAAAATTTAATAAAAACTTTTTTTTAATTAAAAAATTAATAATAATAAATAAATTATATTTTTGAAATTTTATTATACTCAATTTAAGAATTATTTAAATACTAACAACATTAAAATTTATTCTTTTAAACTGGCTATCTAATAAAAAGTTTGATCTAATGGTATCTTAAAAAAGTACTAAATACACATGTATAAATAGTAAAATCTTTACAGTTAGACGAAATGGAATTAAACCTTTATACCGATGTATTAAGGCATATTATATTAAATTAAATATTTCAATTTATATTAAAGAAATTAAACTATTCTTTTATAAAGTATTTTGCCAGACCATATCAATATTATGAGGTATAATATAATTGTAATAATTTTAAAAAAATCACATTTTCTGTTACATCTTTTTTTCTTACAAAAAATAAATTCTTATACGTTTCATAAAATATTATTATACTGAGATATATAGATTTTATATTTACTTTTATTTAAATAATAAAATTAACATACCTCACAAATACAACTCATATGATACACAGCGTCACATTTATTATTTGCACATACTTTTGTGTGCTTTTTTGAGTTTTTATCTAAATCACCGTAGCATATAAAACAATAATTTGAATTTTGTTCAAATTCTTCTATTGGGTTTTCAATTTCTTCATACTGTGAAGCTAAATCTTTTATTTCAAATAACTCCATAAGATTGTCTTTGAAACTTTTATCTGTACTCCAAATTGAATTCTTAAACCAATGTTTAATATAAAATATAAAACGTAATTGTATTAAAATGTAATTTTAATTAAAAAATAAAAGCAATTTTATTTTATTATTTACTCATTTGAGACAAATAATAAAAACCCTTAGCGCTGACACTTTATTAATAAAAACAAAAACCCAGTACAGTCGTAACCAGGCATAGTTAGTTCCTGGTAGTAGGTACCAGAAATGATTAACATTACTATAATAAAATACTTTGATTCAAATGTGCTATTCCTTTAGTTTTATGCAATTTTTAGAGAAATAGTTATTTATTTCAATGTGTAGTATTTAAATCCTCCTTTAAAAAATGTATATAGAATTAATACTTATTAGAAAAAAATAATATTAAAAATTTGTTTAATTGATAAATATATATAAAATATTAATTTAAAACCAATAAATAGTAAGAATATTTAACTAAAATCCGCATATACATATTTTGAGTACAATATTACTATCATCAATGCTTAACACATATTGACATGATGTATATGTATAAGTACATATACACGGTTTTTTTTTAATTAAATATTTTAACATAAAGTAAAGTACATTCAATAAGCTACAAATGGGACTTTTCCAGAACCTTCACAAAAATTGAAATAAAAAAGTAATTTTTAATGTCTTTAATGTTTGCGTTTAAACCCCTCTTATACTTAATAAATCTGTTCATTTTCGAAATAAGTATATCAAAAGAAAGATCTTATTATTTCATTTACCAGTATTTACTGGTAAATATATTTAAAATTTCATAAAAATCAATTTATTAAAAAAAAATGATAGCATTTTTAGATTTTTTAATTTTACATTATTTCAAAATGAGCACATTTTATGGCATATTCGCAAAAAAAAAAGAAAATATGTAATTTTTTAAATTTTGAAGATAATATATTCAATTGGAGCCTAATAAAGTTTTTTTGATGTTTAATTGAATAATCGCCTAATAACCTATAGTTACGAAAACCTATCAACTCTAATTTGACATCAGATTTAGTGCACGTTCAATGTATTATTTTGCGAAATATTTATTATAAATTAAATGTTCTTAATGTTGATTTTGACGAATTATTAAGATTATTAGATTTAGAAACATTAGCTGTAAGACAAATTAATTGATTTTTGTTTCTAATTTAATTTATAATAAAATTAGTTATAAGTAAATTAGGAATCCATGTTACTTTTAATTTACGAATTTATGTAGTAATTATTTATGTAATGTTAATAGTCTTCTTCAAAAGTATAGTTTCAATAATAATTTAATACATTTTTAATAAATTGTAATAATCTACCTAATTTTGATTTTTTTAATAATAATATACATAAATCGAAGTATACTATGATTTATTGTAATTTTTCAAAGTAATGTAATGTGATTATTACATTTTGTTTACTATGCTATTATTTTTATTTCTGTAATTATTAAACTTAACTACAAGGAGTCAAATAAATTATTATAACTTTTATTGATTCTGTAGAAGAGTAAGCTGACTTAGACTGGGCAACAGACAAAAAAAACTCATTATAGTAAAAACAACTCCTTGTCAACTTCATATCGAAATAAGAGTGCTAAAATAGTTAAAAACATAATTACAGAAAAATGATAATTTGATCAAAATGTACAAGAGTTAGATCTGAAACGCTTTGTATATTTTTTTGTCAATTGCAAATTATTTATTTTAGAATATTATATCATAATAACATATAGTAGAATCAGAAAGGAGCTTGAGGGGAACATTTCTTTCATTTCTATCAAATAATCTCTCCCCAAACAAAATTTTAGGAGGAAACTAAAATTTGATATTAAATTTTGTATTCTAATTGCAAATATGATTAAATAAAATCTGTTAAAAATTGAAACTAGAAGAACATTTTTGTTTTAACTAATTAATAGTGATAAAAGGAAAATTGAATATTTCTTTTTACCAATTCAAACTTATTTAGTCTTTTCTGAAATTTATCAGTATCTTCAATTCGACCATATAATTCAATTCTTGGTAAGCTTAAATGATTTATTGGATCTATTTCAATTATAGCTATTACATGTTTCTCTGAAAAATAATTGTTTATTATTTATTATAATACAGCTTAATAGTGTTTAAATAAGGAAGTATAATTTCATAGAGCTCCATATATATATATATATATTTATATAACTGACCATTGTAGTTTTTTTTTTTTTTTTTAATAGCTTTATTAAAATAATATTTAGCTCAACAATTATAAACAAAGAGAAAAAAAAATAAGTGAATTAGAAGTATAACAGTAACAGTGCTATGTTATAATGGTATAACAAATATGACAATAATTGTTAGTGTACTCAAAAACAAAGGAAAAATTAAATATTATTAAAATTATTGTTAATAGAGATTTAAAAGTACAACTAAAAGAATTACTAAATTAAAATTTTTATTTGAAATAATGGAGGATGAGAGAAAGTAAATAAATAAGTAAATAGAAGAATATAAAATAAAATAGTGAGAGATTAAATGACAAAGCCGGAACTCCTCAAGAAAGATATGATTGAAATAATAATAAAGGAAGAACGGGAATTAAGAGTATTAGCTACGGAAGGGGGATTAATATTGTTGGAGGCTAAGAGGCTCAATAGTTTATTTCTGCTGTTAATTAGGGCAGGACAATCAAAGAGATGATGAGAAAAATCGCATAGAGCTTCACTATCATGTATGGGACAGAAGGGAACGGAATTTAAGGAAAGATGAAATGCATGGTAAGGCAGAAGATTATGACCTAACCTAAGTCTTGAGTACTGAGAAATTATATTTCTGGATAAGTCAAGATTATGAAACCATGGAGAATGTATAATGGATGGAGAAATCGAGCGGTACCAACATATCATTTTCAATTTTATTGTAGCCCAACTGCCCTGCCAGGCTTGAAGAACTGTATGTCGAAAGAGGCGGAGAAAGTCAGAAGCGGGAATATTATGTCTTGAAGAAGTAAAGAAGGGGGAAGTAGAAGTAGCAAGACGGTCAGCTGTTTCGTTACCTAATATACTGGCGTGGCCTGGCACGCAGTGAAAAACAATTGTAATAATGCAAAAGGAGGAAAATGGGAGGAAGGGACTTGAGTTTTATTACTTTTTTTCTTCTTTTGTTTATTTGTATATGTATTAGTAGAATGACTAAGGGAAGGAAAGGAAGGAGAAGCTACGACTTCGACACTAGATATATTTGTATTTTTAGCAACATCAGAAAAGATAAAAGCTTTTAACTAAACTGGAACGTTTGATCGAGGAGGCTTCAGAAAACGAGACATTGTTTGAGGTCATTATTTTTTTAATGTCCTTTTGCACGGACCATTCGCTGCAAGATCTATCCGTCGCAAGGTGGTTCAGTTTACAAAAAAAGCACGGAGGTGTGGTTAACTTGACATTACAATTAGATTCAGTGTGGTCAAAGAGACCGCAGTGACTGCAGCGCTCCTTACTGCGACAGAATTTAAGGGTGTGACCAAAACGTAAACACTTGCGAAATTGGACAGGAGAACGAATACTCGGAGAGACATCAAAAATAACTTTGTATATTGATAATTTTTGAGGAAGAGTTGCTGACAAAAATTTAAGTTCAACTAATTTGAAGAAACGAGGATGTTATCCTTTTTTATATTAATGCGTATGAATGAAACAACTTTGATTGAACATTCATAACCTTCCCAAAAGTCTTCTTCAGAGATACTTTTATTAAGACGTATTATTCCAATACTATATAGTAAAGTACTAGGAATATTCGCAGAGTAGCCGTGTTCAGAAAGAGAAGGAGAAGTGAGACAATTGTTAGCGTTATTAACCGACTCAAATGTGATTTTCACACGCTTAGAACCGATAGGGTTTATGCTCAAAATACCAGGAAAAAGTTTGGAAAAAGTTTTACTCAGCTTAACTGTGTAATATAGGTCATTATTTTATAAAACTGAAAACAAAGAATTTTTGTAATGTTTGGTTTAACTATGAATTTCTTAATCTATTATTACAAAAATATAATATAGTCTATTATTTGTAAACCTAGAAGTAGAACACTTATGTAATGTTTAGATTAATTGTAATTCCCCAAATTATTGTTACTAAACCAAGAAGTAAATATTTATAAACATTTTTGAAAATTATGGCATTATGAATCTCTTGATCTATTATTACTAAAATATAATATAGTCTATTATTTGTAAACCTAGAAGTAGAACACTTTTGTAATGTTTGGATTAATTGTAATTCCCCGAATTATTGTTACTAGATCAGGAAGTAAATATTTATAAACCTTTTTGAAAATGATTACTATATGAATTTTATAAAAAGACAAACAAAATATTTTAGTATATAAGATGAAACGGAATGAATTAAAAAGGAAGAAAGAGAAGACCTCGAGAGTACCGAAGGTAATCTCTTTCCGTGTGGTACGTTTGTGACTTTAAGTTTTTATTTTGTGTATTATTTATTTATCCGTTTTTAAGTGTATCAATATTTTATATGTTTTTATTTTGATTGATTATATCTTTATTAACTACATTTTGCGTTATTATTGAACTACAAAAAAATATAAGTTAGAACAAAAAGATTGTTCAATATATAAATACAACAACTGGGTGAAAATTACCTAAGTTATTATCACCAGATGCAGAAACAAATACATTAAGGGAACCAGAGTAGTGTAGTGGAAAGCATTCAGGAACATTGGGTTGCCTGCCTGTTGAAATATTAGGAGAATCGACATAGAGCGAGTTTATGTTTGAAGTTGGCGAACCGAGTGACGTCACAACTATGACTTCAGGGGAGCTACAATCCATGCTGAAAGTTTGAGATTGGGGATCATCGAATTTTGATTTACTGTCATATTTAGGTTTTTTGTGTAAGGGGCTAATTGGCGATTTAGAGCCTTGATTGTTCTTACCAGAATAACGCGAATTATCCATGGAGATTTGTGGGTTGGGAGATTGCAGAGTGCTTCTACGGCGCAATGGAGAGTGGTGCTGATCACTTCCACCCGGATTAGGTCTGTATTGCATCCAGAGCCCCGGCGGACACAGTAAATGTGCCAAAAAGGCGGAACTATGGATTCAAAACTAAAAAAAAACTATGTATAACGGAATAGTACTCTAAAAATAGGCGGGTAACTACAAACGTACGCGAGATAAACACGTCCGTACAATACGACCGATAAATCGTAAATAACCATTGTAGATAAAAATATAATTAGGACATAGATTCTTTAACGTTAAAAGGAAAATTTTTTAGCCAGCCTTAAGTTTTCACAAATAAATGATAATTAATCACTTATTGTGTATGATTGGGTTATGTTTATGTTTAAAAACAATTTAAAATGATTCAAGAAAATTTTAGATCACCATTCAAATTGATCATTTTTCCCAATGATGGAATAATTTGAAAATGCCATTTCAGAAATATGCAGCACATTTTCCATCGCGATGCTCAGTAGTTTTAGTTTTTGTTATTATTGAGGTGGACATAATGCCCATGCGCTCAGACCTGTTGGTCCATTGTGCGCACCTCATACCGAATTGTCTTAATTCGGTTAACCCACCTAAGTGTTATCACCGAAGTGTGAATATATTACCAACCATAAAGTCACCTCTATAGATGACTAAAGAGTCCTGTCTTTCTGGCGAAATTAAGTATCTCTCTGGGTTTTAGGTTTTTAATATCTTCTTTTTCGGAAAAAGTTTTACTCAAGTAGTTTGATCTTAATGTGAACAAGGCTTCACATTCGCACATGATGTGAAATGAGTCTTCCTCTTCTACTCCATACTTCCTACACAATGGTGATTCCGATACCCCCATTGTGTTAAGATGTTTAAGCAGGTGACCATGTCCTGTCAGTAGACCAGTCAGGGTGCTTATTTGATGTCTAGTCATTAGGGTGGCCCAAAAATTTCAAATTTACCCTATACCCCAGGGCACCCACTATTTTTTTTACCTTCGTTGATAGTAGTAAAGAGCCAAAAATTCAATGTCCTAGGTTGAGTAGATGGCAGTGCTCAACATCGTCAAATTTTTAAAAATTTTGTTATTTCCTTATTTCTTAAATATTGATTTCTGTATTCTTGTTTTCTTTCAGATGCTGTTTTTGTGAAAGAAATACCAAGAAAAATGTCTTGAAAATATATAACTATCAATAGTTGTTTGTGAGGACTGTTTTTATACCAGACATTGTTTAGGACTTTTTTGTGAAAATATGGCTTTATCATCAACACGTCAAGCGGACACTATATTCTTGATAGGTATCAAAGATCTAGAACCAATATCTCGATTTAATCAGTTACCAACTATAAAGCAAGTCCTTCTTAGATTCCATTTTTTTCTCCAAAGGAAAAAATCAGTTCGAAATGCCAGTCACAGCACTGTAGAAGAATTAATTTTAGTGTGGCAAAAAACAGCTATCCCGATTAGACTTGTAAAACATTGTATTGATAAGCTTGAAAAATTACACTCTGAATGGCTTCTGTTAAAAAAAAATAAAGGAAGAATCTCTGATACCCAAAAGAAACGTGAAACACTATTTCAAGAGCAGCTAGATATGTTATTTGACATTGCTCACAATGATGCAATTACTATATGCAAAGTAGATGAAGACAGAGAATTTTTAATTGATCAGAGGACGGAAAGAAATATGATTATTTCATCAGAAGACATGAAATACAACATGAAACAAGAAAGGAAATTTCAAAGAAAAATGAAAGAACAAAAGAGACTTGAAAAAGGGAATGAGCCAGGGTTCTCTTCCCTGATATCTCCAACTGTGACTATTTCAAATTCAGATGATGAATCAAGAGAAAAATCTGATTCAGCCATAGATAAATCAGAAGAGATGTATATGTATAAGCCACCATCTTCTTTTAAAAGAAGGGAATCCCAAAAAGACTCACAGAATGAACCAATTGCAAAGAAATCTTTATTTTCTAAACATGTCACAAGCGCATTAGATCGCAATAAGGTTTCTGATAGGGAAGCCTTAAGATTAATGGTCCCTATTGCATCGGCATTGGGGCATGACCCTAGTTCCTTGCCATTATCACGAAGTACTATTCAACGCAAAAGGAAAGAAGGAAGAAAAGCTGTGTTTGAAGAAATAAAGCAATGTGTTTCTTTTGACGATCCAGTTATTGTTCATTGGGACGGGAAGATTCTTCCTGATATTTTGGGCACTAATAAAGTAGATCGATTGCCCGTATTAGTATCTGCAGATGGTAAGGAGAAATTGCTTGGAGTGCCAAAACTCGTAAGGGGTACTGGTGCAAATGCAGTTTATAATGTACTAAGTGAATGGGGTTTGGAGAACAAAATAGTCGGCATGTGTTGTGACACTACATCTGTTAATACAGGGTTTAAAAATGGAGTTTGTGTTATGCTGGAACATAAAATTGGAGAAGAATTATTATGGCTACCATACAGGCAGCACATTTTGGAGATTGTTCTCAGTAAGGTATTTACTCTCTGTTTCGGACCATCTAGTAGTCTTGACATTCCTTTATTCAAAAGATTCAAGGTAGCATGGCCCTTGATACACAAAGAAAACTATCAACCATTAGAAAAAGCTCCTGGCAGTGAAAATTTAAAGCTCACTGCAGTAAATGCTTTATTAGTTGTCTTAGGAAGGAATAAGCAGCCCAGAGATGATTACATGGAGTTAATAGAGATGACTCTTCTAGCTCTGGACCATACTCCATATAAAATTCATTGGAGAGCTCCNTCTAGCTCTGGGCCATACTCCATATAAAATTCATTGGAGAGCTCCAGGTGCAGTACACCACGCTCGTTGGATGGCGAAATTGTTATACGCCATTAAAATTCACTTGTTTCGTGAGGAAGACAGTTTCAAAACCACACAAAAGGAAAAATTGCAGTTAGAACGCTTTGTGAACTTTGGAGCTCTTGTATATGTAAAATATTGGTTTGAAACCCCTATGGCTACAAATGCTGCTTGGGCAGACCTTTGTCTGTGGAAAGACATGACCAATTATGGAATTATTGATTCTCAAATTAGTGAAGTGGTTAAAAATGCCATAAAATCTCATCTTTGGTACCTCTCGGATGAGTTAGTTGGCTTAAGTTTATTCTCAGAGAAAGTTTCAAATGAGGAAAAGGTAGAAATTGTCAATAAGATGGAGTGTGAACCTACTGACCGGAAGGTAAGAGGAGATTTGTCACTTTTAACTGACCAGGCCGTTTTGGCTGATTTTGCCAATAAAAGATCATTGCAGGTGTTTGATAAATTTAAAATAAATTCAATTTTTTTGACCACACATCCAAATGAATGGAACAGCAATGAACATTACATTAGTGGTAAACAAATCACAAAAAATATGAAAGTTGTTAATGATATAGCTGAGCGTGGTGTGAAACTTTTTGAAGAGTTTAATAAGCTTTTGACAAATGATGAAGAAGAGAAACAGTTGGTCCTGCAAGTTGTTGAGGCTAACAGAAAGTTGGTTCCGTCCAAAACGACAAAACAAGTAGCTGTTGAAAGTTTGAAGCCATCAACTTCAAAGCATTAAACCATGTTTATTGTTTATTTACCCCAACCAGTACTTTCCTATAAGATTTTTGTATTATTAATCAATATTATACAATAAAATAAACTAATTTACTACTACTCAGCTATTTGTACTTAATTTAAAACAATCCTCAAAATTTCCTATTTTTCAATTTCCTATTTTTTAATTTTATATTTAATATTAAATGTNAGTGATAGTGATTCTAAAGTTTCCCTGCATTCGAGGACCAGCTTTGAATTCACCTGATTGTTACAGAGTGCCTTCAAAGCCGCTTGACCATCACTTAAGATACTTATCTTCCTATTTTTGTATACCAGCAAGTTCTGAGCCCCTACCAGTATCGCCATCACCTCTGCTTCGAAAACAGAGGGTGTTGTGCCCAATGACATACTGACATTATTCGTGGCTTTAAACCCCAAATTCCAGCACCTACCTTTCTTGATTTTTTGGATCCATCTGTATATATTACAAATCCTCCTTTATCAGTTAGGTGGTTAATATTCCATTATCTACGTGTAGTGATCTCCACTTTGTAGGGAATGTTATTCTTAAGAACCGGTTTAATATAGTCCAAGGGGTATTCCAAAAAGCCCTGGTCTATTTCTTTTAGTATTTTACCATGTTCTGTTGTATCACTCTCCAAAGTCCACATACCTAAGTTGTGTAATCTTAGTGCTGTGGCTTTGGCGTGATCTTTAACCTCTAGATGCAGAGGAGGCAATCCGATTAGTGCCTCTAATGCGACTGTTGGTGTAGTTCTTAATGCTCCAGTGATAGCCATAGCAGCCACACTCTGTATGTGACTAAATTCTTTCCTGGCTGTAACGAGTGCTGTTCTGGTCCACCAGACTAGGGCACCGTACAATATCATAGGTTTAATCACTGAAGTGTACAACCAAAACATAACTCTTGGTTTAAAACACCATGTCTTTCTCAAGGCTCTGCTGCAAGTCCACAATGTGGTCATTGCTTTTTTGATTCTTGACTCAACATGTGATTTCTATTTTAGCTTACTATCTAAGATAATACCTAAGTATTTTACTTCCGATTTTAAGCTAATTTTTTGTCCATTTAGAGTAAGAGTGTCAAGACTGTCTAGTCCTATTCTCCTTCTAGTGAACATAACAACCTCTGTTTTATTTAGATTAACAGATAGACCATACTTACTACACCATATCTGTATAGTGTTTAGTCTCTGTTGTGCTAAGTCTATAATAGTGTCTGGGAATTTACCTACCACTGCTATAACTAAGTCATCCGCATAGGCTTGTGTATAACAGTATTTGTTTAGCGCTTTAATAAGCAAGTCCAATATTAGACACCATAGCAAGGGGGATAGAACACCGCCTTGTGGATATTCCTGTTTAACACTCTTGATTACTTTGGTTTCATTGAGCTTTCCCAAAATGGAGCGTTCCTTAAGCATGGATTCTATCCACTTAGTAATAAGTGGTTCTATTCCATGCTGTTGTGCAGATTCACAAATAGCATCGAAGGGAGTATTGTCAAAAGCCCCCTCGATGTCCAGGAATATACCTAATGCATACATTTTATTCTCCACAGCTTTCCCTATCTTAGTGGTTAAACAGTGTAGAGCTGTATCAGTAGATTTCCCCGTTTGATACGCATGTTGGTTTTCATGTAAAGGGTTCTCCTTAAGAGACCCCTCCTTGATGTACCTATCAATAAGTTTCTCCATAGTCTTAATAAGAAAAGAAGTAAGACTTATTGGTCTGTAGGATTTTGCTTCATAATAGTTAGTGCGGTTAGGTTTGGGTATAAACACCACCCTGACCTTTGGCCAGCTTTCCAATTGATAACCAAAGACGAGGCATGCCCTAAATATTTTGCATAGATGAGGACGATTAACTCTAACCCTTCTTGCAGAAGTTCAGGGAAAATTTCGTCACAGCCTGCAGCTTTGAAATTGCCAAAGGCTTTTATTGCCCATCTTATCCTACTTGGGGTTATCACTTGCCTAGTTAGTTTCCAATCAGCACAGGTCACACGTTTGTCCTGTGCATCATGTGACTGTTCTCTGTTTTTAATTACAAAGTCAGGAAAATGTGTGTTCATCAAATGTGATAATATTTCATTATCGTTATTGGTGAACATTCCGTCTAGCAATAGTATTGCCTCGACAGTTTTGTTTAGTCCATTCCTCAGTGATCACAGAAGTCTAGTTGCTATAGGGAGTTGTTGTATATCCCCACAGAACTTCTTCTAGGTTTCTCTTTTGGACTTTTTCAATGCAGATTTGTAGTTCCTTTGGGCGTCCTTATAGGATTCCCAGTGTTGTTCCAAACCTGATTTCATTGCTTTATTTAAGAGCTTATGTGAACTCTTTCTTAATTTATACAGGTTAGCATTCCACCAGGCTACACCCTGTCCTGTACCTTTCCTTTCTATTAAAGGACAGTTTTCTTTGTAAACCGAGACAATGGAGTCCTGTAGTATATTTACAGTCCTTTCAGTACTCTGTCTCGACCCCAATCTAAATTGTAGGTTATTCAGGTCACGAGTAAGATCTGCCCTGTAATTGCCCCAGTTTGTTCTTTTCGAGTTCCTATAGTACTCAGTCTTAACTTTGTTAATTTCCATAGTAAATGGTAAGTGCCTATGATCAGAAAGAGATGGTTCGGAGGACACTTTCCACTCTTTTATCTTTTGAAGTAATCCTTTTGACAAACTGTCAGATCAATGACTTCCTGCCTGTTCCTGATTACAAAGATAGGTTCACTACCTCTATTAAGTATACTGAGGTCTGTAGTCAGCAATAAATCCATTATTACCTCTCCTCTTTGGTTGATGTTACTGCTCCCCCAAATAGTGTGGTGTGCATTAGCATCCATACCTAGGATGAGTTCTAATTTTTCATTTTTGCAATAATTAAAGAGCATAGTTAGGTCCCTACCTGGGTCTGTGACTTCATATGGTAGGTATCCTGAAGCTACTATAATATTTTTACCATCATTTAGTGTTACTTTAATAATAGTCAAGTCTGCACTTAATAGATTAAATATCAAACTGGCTTTAACATTATTATTAACAATTATGTAGATTTATTATTTATATGGATTTAAAATGATAAAATCACTTAAAATACATAAGAAAATAGTCAACATTTTTTTTTTTAAATATTCCCACTTTATCATAATAAATAATAATTATAATAAATATAGGTTATTAAAAATTAGTTTGGCAGCAAGTTTGAAACTTGACTGTCCATAATCCTAAAATATTTGATTTTCATATTTTATCTCCATATATAATGTTCACATATAATTACAATTTTGACTTGGTATGTGTGATAGATATTTGAAATCAAGAAATCTGTTAATTAATTATAAATTGATAATATTTTATCTATAAGTAATACATATTGTATGAAAAAATAATACTAAAAAACTAAATTTTTTTATAAATACTCACCAATAGGAATCCGATATTTAACATCTGCTAATGAGTAAGTTCCTATTAAATTACATGTGTTAACGATTTCATCATGTAAGTCCCAAAAATGACTTAATGTTGCAATAATATTTTTAAATTCTTCAAATAAACCAGAAATAATATTTATCTACAACAATTTTTCAAACAATTGAGCATTTTTAAATAATTTTTTGATAGCTGGTGAAAACATAGTTAACTATGTAGCAGTATGTATGTAGTTATTCAAGAAAATTGTTTATTCATTGGCCACTTTAATTTTTTTTAATATGACAATATTTTTGTAAATATTATTGACTTTTTTCAGTTAATTCTTGATTAAAAGTTATTGAGTATTATTTAGGTCTTTCGAGGGAATTAAACTTTTTTTTTTTATTAATAACAACATATATATTTAACTAATTTATGACTTATTGAATTTTACTAAATTATGATTTTCATTAAGAAAATAACATAAAACATAACTGTAGACTATCAGTAAACATTTTTTTTAAACATAGTTATGTCAGCACTTATCATAAGTTAAGACATGGTTGAAACCATATTTGATATATGACTGATTAAAATTACTAATATAACGCTCCATCCATATATGAATTGAAAATTTAATTAAATAAAAAAATATTTTTTGAAGGGAAAATACTTTTTTAACTAATGGATAGTCTTCTTCTTCCTCGCCTTAATCCCAACTACTCGATGTTGGCCACCCTTATCCTAAACATCCACTTGACACAATCTCCCACATCTTCTACGCTCACATCAGCTGTTCTCATATCGCATTCAATAATATCCCTCAATCTCTTTTTTGATCTTCCTCTACCTCATCTTTCTTCAACATTCATTTCTATAACTGTTCTTACAGTTTCCGATTCTTCTCTCCTCATAATATGACTAAATTATAGTACAATTATAAAAAAAATGTATGGTTTCTTTTTAATTTTTGAACATAATGTATTCAACTAGATATCAATTAGATTCTTTTTATGTATAGTTAAAATCAAATAATCAGTCCAGTAAATCTGAGAAAAAATAATGACAGACATATCAAACAAAATTAATGCATACCATAGAAAAAATAATCCTTTTTTAACAATTTCATCTAAGCTAAAATTAATAATTAATCGTGTAGCATGTAAAATCATAAGATTTAACAATGTTTATACTAAACTTTATATTCCATAATATAAAAATAAAATATGTATATGTAATTCTAAAGACTATTAAATTTTATCCTTTCAATTTATATTTTTACATACAAATTAGCAACAAAAGGCTTTTTATCCTTACTTTTAAAAGTGAATTCATAAAAAAAGTTGGTATTGTTGCATCAAATTCTAATGATTTTTTAATAGCTGGATATTCTATAGGTATATGTATTTTAATAGAATGTTGGCGCCCAGATTCATCGTTGATTTTATATGTTACAAAACATAAATTCTCTTCAATATCATAGACATATTTATCCCAAATTTTGATTTCTTGAATAATTGAACAAAAACGATCTTGGTTAATTTTATGAGAGATATTAACTTGTGGAAGAGTGAGAAGACCAGTTGATTTATTCTTTAAAATATTTTTTTAATATGAGATTAATTATTTAAGTATAAATATTATTCAATTTATTATACTTTGAAATTATTTTAATTAAAAAAAAATATATTCTAATGAAATAAGGCAAATTTAATTTGCTTCCCTTCTTTATGTTTATGTAAATAGGAATAAAATTAAAATTTCAAGAAAAATAAACAGAACCAAAAAATTACCAAAACATCAATTAGGCTGGATAAAAATTCAGGCAAGACATTTGCATTTTTTGAAAACTAAAATAATAAAGTCTTTGAGTACACATTTTTAAAAATATTCAATAAAAAAAAATATTTTACTTGTTCTATTATTTTATTCAATTCAAATTGATCCAAATTAAAATTCTCATATGTTGAAATATTGAACTGGATATTTTCTATGTTGGGAAAACTAGGACAGATAATTTCTACTTGTTGGTATTGCGACTAAAATTATCAAATTATTAAATTAAATTAGTATTATTTGTAATTATACTTCGAATAATTCAATAATTTATAAATATTTTAAACTTTCTAATCACATTTTTTACTAACGGGTCAATCCTTGCTAAATCATTCAGAAGTGGTTGTATGACCACTTTAATTTTTTTTTTTAAATTTTCAGAGTATCTTTTTTATGCTGTATTTAGATTAAAAAAATTTTTTTTTATGACCTTACCGTTTTTATGTCTATTTTAATGTAAAAAATGTTCAAAACAGTCAGAACGTTAAAAACACACAATTAATTCAATATTAATTTGATTGAATTTAAATTTTAGAATTGACCTAATTATAACTAAAACTTTACATTAAAAAAAAAATTATGTTAACTTCTAATCTTTAATGACTTTCTAAGAATGGCGACTTATTGTGTAAATTGGCGTTTTTGAGCTCAACTAAAACTATTAAGAATTTATTATTTTATACTAATCTTCAATTGTGGTATTGTATAGTGTATAATCTATGTTTCAATAAAATTTAAAATATTTAAAACAATTATCTTCTGATTTATAGGCCTACAAAGTTAGAAATTGTATAAAAATATATAATTCTAGGTGCATTATTTCTGTTGGTGGATCGAATTTCATAACTTTTTTTTTTTAATTTTCTTGTTCTATATCTGTTTAATACATTATACATATTTGTATTTTGAAAAAAAATTGTAACATGTAAAATATAATCACTAAAATAATTATTTTAACCTAAATACCATCATAAAATTATGTAATTTGGATGCGACATTTAACTGATTTTCTAATGTTATATATTAATTAATGTTAAATTTAATCTCAATGTCAGTATCATATCAAAATGTTGATATATTACCAAATACTTAAAAATCAATTAAAAAAAGAAAAATTGTTTAATTCAGTTACATTCTAAAACAAACATGACTTATTTTAAATGCAACTATCATGACTTCAATTTAAGAATATAAAAATTTATACAAAAATCTCAAATAGTTAAGAATTCTTTCTTCTTCTTCCTCGCCTTAATCCCAACTACTTAGGGTCAACTACCCTTATCCTAAACTTTCATTTAACACGATCTCCCACATCCTCTACGCTCACATCAGCTATCCTCATATCACATTTAATTAAATTTCTCCATTTCTTTTTTGGTCTTCCTCTACCTCTTCTTCCTTCAACATTCATTTCTATAACTGTTCTTACAGCTTCTGATTCTTCTCTGCTCATAACATGACCAAACCATCTAAGTCTATTTTCTCTCATCTTATCCACGATTGACACTACACCTATACTCCATCTTATATGCTCGTTCCTTATCCTAATCTTTTCTAGTTACTCCACTCATCCATCTAAGCATTCTCATTTCTGTTCTACTTTCTTATCAACCGCCCAACACTCTGAACCATACATCATAGCTGGTCTCACTACAGTCTTGTAGAATTGACCTTTCAGCCTCATAGGAATTCTTTTATCGCATAAGACATCAGATGCTACTCTCCAATTCAACCACCCACACTTAATCCTGTGTCTTACATCCTCATCAATATCACTGCTCTTTTGCATAACTGACTCTAAATGCTTAAAACTTTCCACTTCTCCAATCAAGTCCTCGCCTATTGTCACTGATCTCCTCATTTCACCTACCTCGTGTCCTCTTTTGTCAAAATCGTACTCTATATACTCTGTCTTACTTCTACTCTTTCTTAAACCCATTTCTTCAAGAGCTGATCTCCTCACCTCTAGCCTTTGATTAATATCCTCCCTATTTTCTCCTATTAACACTATATCGTCAGCAAACAACATGCACCACGGCACTTCTCCTTGTCTTTCTCTAGTAATTTCATCCATCACTATGGAGTATAAGTAAGTGCTTAAAGCAGAACATTGGTGCAACCTACTCTTACTCAAAACTCTTCTGTTACTCCTCCTACCCCTTTTAACCTGGTACAAGTGCCATCATACATATCTTCTATTATATTAATGTACCTTTCAGAACTTCTTTTCTCATTAATTTAAAACCTCCCTCGGTACTCTGTCATACGCTTTCTCCAAATCTTTAAATATCATACACAGTTTTTTCTTCTTTACCCTAAATTTTCCTATAAGTTGCCTCACAAAAAATACTGGCTCCATTGTTGACTTACCAGGCATAAATCCAAACTGGTTTTTAGATACCAATGTCTCATTTCTTATTCTCTTATCTATTACCTTTTCCCAAATTTTCATACTATAACTAATAAGCTTTATGCCTCTATAATTTCCACACTCCTGTATGTCTCCTTTACCTTTAAATATCCGCACCACAATGCTATTCCTTCATTCGTTTGTTATTTTCCCTTCTAATAAGATTTTATTTAAAAGTTCCTTTAACCACCTTAAGTCAACACCGCCTACATACTTCTACTGGCACTTCATCTGGTCCTACTGCTTTATTGTTTTTCATTGATGCTACAGCCTCCTATACCTCTTTCTCACTAATTAAATCTACCAGTTCCTCATTCCATGATATATCCTCTAATGTCTCTTTTGGGTATTCCTCATTCAGTAATTTTTCAAAATACTCTTTCCACATTTATTTCACATCATCATCACTCGATAGTATCTTATTATCAACATTTTTTATACACCTTAAATAATGAGAATCTTTAGACTTTTTCTCTCTTATCTTTGCAAGACTATAGATTTCTTTCTTGCCTTCCTTTTTTCCTAACCTATCATACAACTCATCATACCTCTTAAACTTCGCCTTACTTACTACACACTTGGCTTCTTTGCACAGGCGTTTTTACTCCGTCCAATCTTCTCTCCTTTTGCTCTTCTGCCATACTTTAAATTGCTTTTTCTTACTTTCTATGTTTTTATGAACGTCTTCATCCACACCAGGTTTTCTTGTTTCCTGGCATTCTACTCCTACACTCATCAACAATCTCCTTTGTAGTATTCTTTACACAACTAGCAATTCTATTCCATACATCATTTATGTCTTCCACAACATTCCACACCGTCCTCTCTTTTACCGTCTTTACAAACTTTTTTTCACTTTGTCTTTTAAATTTCTATCATCGGATCATTGATTTTACCCCCGTGTTTCTTCTATTTTCTATTTCAATTTTTTTTACTTAAAACTGCTATAACTTTTGTAAAAATAACCAAATCATTATAATTTCTTTTTTTATAGATGCATAATCATCTCTCCTTTTGCATATTTTTCTTTTAAGAATAAAAGGTAAAAATACCTAACTATTCAATTTGTTCTTATTTATATAATAAAATAAATTTAAACATTAAATTGATAGTAACATTTAATCTCATATTTAAGAATGTAGACTCAACAAATTCTTTCTTAAATAAATTTAGAGATATAATTTTGAAATAAATCAAACACTTGTCTGAAGAATTGGTTTAATAATTTTTTGATAATTTTAGTTAAATATATAATATAAAGTATCAAATAATTATTAAATATAAATGTAATAGCATAAATTTAAACATTAAAGTTAGATATTATGTAATTTTGACTATGTTGTATATTTATATTGTTTCAATTTTTCCAAATTGTGATGTAAAATAGATTAAAAAAAATTTGATGGCTTTATAAAAAGATTCAAAGTGCAACAAGGAAATTTTTTTTACAAGAGGCCCCAAATTCACTTTATTACTTATGCTCTTAAAATCAAAGTTGCAACAGTGTTTAGAGGATTATTGATAACATCTTATAATTTATAAGAAAATTTTTGGAACTTCTTATAAAATATATTTTTTTAATAATTAAAATAATATGTTAATGAGTTGATATTAAAAATCTATAACAAAATTAGTTACACTAAATAATAAAAACTCCACAACAAATGTTTAATAGAATCTCTTAAAATAAAATTTTCATTACAAATTATATAATTGTATTCAAAATAGTCTTACTTTTAGTAATACAACACCTATCCAAACTGTGTTATCATTACTAGGCAATAATAGAGGAAATTTTTCAAACATGTCTTGGAGTTCACTCATGTTGTATATTTAATTTTTATCATAAAAAAAAGTAAATTAAAAATATATATATGAGTTTACAAACTAAGGAATCATGACTAGTATCATTTGGTTGGTAATCTACACACAAAGTTGATTTCAGCGACAGTTTTATAAAATAAATCTAATATTTGGTATTATATTCAATATATACAGTAAGCTTATGGCTCATTCCATAATAACTGATATTAGGTAAGTAAGAATTAATGAAATTAATAAGATGGATGTGAAATGTACTTGTAATTTATTTATTGTTAATATCACCCAACTGAATCGAATAATAATTCATTGTTATCAATTTATTATGAAAAAAGGCGCAAAGTTTTTTTATTGATATCATTCAAATATCAAAACCGTACAAGCTTTTGATTTATGAAATTATTATAACGGCAGAACACTTCTTCCACGAAAAGTATTTAATCCCACAAGGTACTAACCCTTAAACCTTACATTCAATAGTATGATTTTTTCGCTCAAATGACGTTTGTACATTTTAGTTATATTTTGTTATTGATAATAGTTGAAGTTTTATTACATTTTCGAAGTGTCCGCCAGTTTTATTGTAAACTTTTAATTGAAATTAACAAGTCTGTCTGGCCACGAGTTGTTTTTACATTAAAAGTTAACTTTTAACTATCATTAGCTGACACAAACCAACTTTAATTCATAATTTATAATTTATAATTAAATTCCTTAATCTAATAAGACGTAAAGGTTTTTTGTGAAAAACGCTTTGAAAATAAACCATGTAATGTATTAAATATATTATTTTAACATTTTTCAGTATCTATCATCTAATTAATTAATATTACTATCGATATGTTTATGTTAACAATATTATTTGAATACATTTTATCTCTCATCTAGGATTATATGTTTATATTCATATAATATAATTTCTCAAAAATTAACATAATTAACTATTTCAGTTATTCTCGTACGTGATTTAAAAAATAATAATAGCATAAAAATGTAGGTTGTATTGTAATAACCATCGCATAAAGTTGGAGTGTAGGAGAATTTTACTTAAAGTAATAGCTAGTTAGAAATCAAGATAAACATTGACTGTATGTTTTTAAGAGAATTATGATTGGAACGAAAATAAGTAGTTCTTTATACCATTTTAGGAAATAAGAATTGATAATGTGTATGTAGATAATGAGACAAAATATAATAGCATATAAAAAGATGTATTATATTTAGATAAGATAGATTAAGTTTAATAATAATAGTGTTAATTATATTTGTCTAATTTTTAGATTTTTGTATTTTATTTTCATAGCTATTTGCAAAAATTGAGTCATGGAGCAATATATTGTCAGCAGTAATAGTGCACTAGAATTGAAATTAGGTATATTTAAATGCAACAATTGTTTTTGCAGTAACTTCCTATTATTGTATTTAAATAATTTTTAGTGCGTAAAGTCAGTGATATAGGAGATACAAAAACTGCTTTTCATCCAGATATGACATATCAAGTTTTTGGGAATATGTAAGATTAGTAACAAATATCTAATTTATGTTATAATTCCATGTGAAATTATTAGTTTTACATCATGGAAGCTGTGTGCTATAATATATGTCCAAAACTAATCATTTATTTAAATAAAAGTTATTTTTGAAATTTTCTTTTAATGAGATGGAATTAAGTACGGGTTTTTATTTTATTAATTGTTATCATTTTATATTAAAGCTTTAGAGAACAATTAATAATTTAACATTACATTTCTCCTTAAATGTTAAATAATACCAGTGTATATTTATAATTAAATTAAAAAATAATTTTTGTTTGAAATACTAAGTGAGTTAAATTCAATTATTTCATCAATTTGTAGTTTTAATTATACTTATTTAAGGACCTTTTATTAGATCTCATACAAAAAAAAAATTAAGTAGTTGACATGTATGTTATAATTAGATATATAAGCAAAAAATATTTGTTTCTATATAGATTTTTACAATATACTCTAAATTGAATAAAAATAATTATTTTCTATGATTATAATTTTTATAGATATTTTATCTAAAATATTTTATTAATTTTTGAAGATTTTCATTGTAAAATTTTCAGGGAGAAAATATTTGGTTACAAAGATCTTGTTGTTAAAATGTATTACACAGCTTGCTCTTTAAAACTGTACATTGGTGTTGAATATTCAACAAAAGTAGACCCTAGCAAATTTGATGTAAATGTATGTTATTTACATACTAATATAGTATCTAATTGTAGCATTAAAATAATTTTAACATCAATTCATTTTTCTTCAGCCTGATGACATAATGGAAAAACTTAAAGAATACATTAGTCCAGATTTCTGTACTAATTTAAATTTATTTGAAAAATATTTAGAAAATGAGTCTTCTTTAAAGCCATATGGAAAGTTACTTGATGAGTTTTTAATAAGTGAGTTGTGTAAAAAATTGGTATTTTATTGATTATAATTTTTAATACTGTATTCTAGGTGATCATAATGATCAAATAAAGTATGAAGTTTATGTAATTGAAGATGAAAATACTTCATTTAAAGATTATTTTAATCAACTACAAACATTTGTACTATGGTATATTGATGCCTCAAATTTTATTGATTTTGATGACTCAAAGTGGAAAATTTTTATGATGTAAGATTTGTATAATTATATGTAATCGTTAATTAGGTTTTTTCTAATTTAAAAAAATATAAGGGTGAGAAAATTTAAAAAAAATTCAGTTTAATCAATTTATAAAACCTAAATGAAAAAGGTAAACAATCATCTATTTGGGGCAATGTAGAGTATCACTGCTAGTAATTATATATAAATTTATTAAAATAATTTTTAGGTATGAACTTTTTAAAAATGAAAATGGTGATCAATGTTATGCTCCAATCGGGTATTGTACAATTTATGAATATTATGCTTATCCTGATAAAATTCGACCAAGAATCAGTCAAATGTTAATTTTACCACCTTTTCAAAGAAAAGGATTATGTGCTAAACTTATAAATTCTGTTTACAAATATTATTCATTAAAATCAGATGTTATTGATATTACAGGTAAAATATGTCTAAACGTACAATTTTGAATTGATTGGTATGTGATAAAAAAAAAATTTTTAAATTAATTTAATTTTAACAAAAATTGTTAGTTGAAAGTCCAAATGATGAATTTCAAATTGTTCGTGATTTTGTTGATGCAAGTAATTTCTGCCAATTAAAGTCTTTTGATAAGGAAAAACTAAAGAATTTACAATATAAAGAAATGGTTGAAGAATTTAAAAGACATTATAAAATAAATCCAGTTTGTATATTTCAATATTATATCATTAAATTATTAATGTGATTAGAAGTTAAAATTATAAGTGATTTTAAATTTGAAGAGAAAATATTTTAAAAAGTACTTTTTTTTTGCATTAATAAAAATAACAGAGTTGGACATTTTAAAATTAGATAATTAAAAAAACATTTGATAATTTTCAAATTTCCATTTATAAACAAAAGATTTTCAAATTAATTATATTAAAACTTTTTTTTTAATAATTGTCACAGAAACAAATCCGTCGGATTCTAGAAATAATACTATTACAAAATACCAATCGTTTTGATTTAAACGAGTATAATAAATACAAAAAATTTGTTAAAGCAAGATTAAATTGGCCTCTTCAGGTAAAATATTATTTTATACAGTTATGTTTTTATTTTATTATATTTTATTTTTAAAATATAGAAAAAACCAACAAAATTGATGCTAGCTATGCCTCCAGGAGAAGCTGATAAAATTTTGAAAGCTGATGCTGCTGAAAAACTTGAAGAAGTAGATGTAGAATACAATGAATTAGAACTCTTTTATGATAGAGTAATAAAAAGACTAGAGAACAAACAAAATATATAAATCTAAATGCTTTGTCAAAAAAGTTATTTATTATTATTTAATGTGAAATAGTATAATTTTCCGTTTAAGTCTACTATTTTTATTGTATTAATATACATTATTGTATGTGTTTGTTCCTCTTCTTTAAGGCAATAGTTAGAAACTATACAATGTAATATTTTTACTGTTTAAATTGATTTTTTATACTTGCAACTTTTTTTTAAATTTAATTTTATTTACAATAAAAATTAAGTCAATTTTATGTTTGTAAAGATACATTGCAGTAGATCATTTTTAACAGTTTCCTTTATAAACACTTATTATGAAACAAACCAAGGTTAAAAGTGTGCACAACTCCAGTGGTACAAATACAGCAAATATTATCTTAAACTTAAAATAATTCTTAAATATTTTAAAAATATCAGATATTTTGTTTATAATAATAAAAAAAACAAGTACTCATCATATAATAGACTATAAAAAAAAAATTAAAATATTTTTACAAAAAATTGAATTTTAAGTATAATATCATCTCATTTATGATATTATATTATATGGCCAACAGTATGTTGGCCATAAAATTTTTTGATGAGATCAATTATTTTTAAATTATTTCAACTTGAATTTTGAAAGTGTTCCGGATACTCTGACACTTTTATAGATATCTTAAATTAAAGATAATGTAATATACTATATTATGGAAAAAAAATGTTCGGACTTTATTTTGTCTTCACAGTGAAAATAGTTACCAAATGTTATTTTTAAATTAAAATTCTCGATTTTATATTTTACATTTTTAACTTTATAATGCTGTAACTTATTGAAAAGTGTATGAATCAATACAATTTTTTTATGAGAAATAATATTTATATCATTTGAAAAACTTATTTTTTTAAATCGGACACCATTTTCCTTAACATATTTATATATTATAAATATATATAGATATTTATTTATTCATATATTACACTTATAAATCATAAAACTTGTAATCAGTATATAAATAAGGAAATAGAAGATCATATAGCTTTTAGAATATTCCACCAATTTTTTAAAATTAAACACTACAGATTTGCATCTAAGCGTTTTTTATAATAGTGATTTTAATTACTGTCTGATATCATTATAGTTGACCCAACTATGCCACAATCCCACTGTGCTAGATTTTTTTAATTTAATATTGTATCTTAATAGTCTAAACCAGTGGTCGGCAACCTTTTTTAATTCTCGGGCCACATTTACAAATTAAAAAGAGTTCGCGGGCCAGATAAAAAAAAAAAATTTATAATTACATTATTTATTATGCAAAAAAATACTATCTAAAACTTAAAATAATAATATGACTTATATAAAATACCCGTACCAAAAACGCAACGTTCAATTATATTTATACAAAATGATATTCAATTAAATTAGTCGATTTAGAATTTAAAGCGGGCCGTATTCAATAGCCACGCGGGCCGGATACGGCCCGCGGGCCGCCGGTTGCCGACCACTGGTCTAAGGCAATAATTTATTATGAAATACGACTATAAGAAATAATAATTTTTTTTGTTTTTAATATTCATATTTTTCTTCAATTATTCAAGTTTTGTCAAGTATAGAAAAAATTACTAAGGCTAGGTTCATATGGACGTGCGTCAGTTAATCGCTTGTGTAAAAATCAAGGACATAAATTATACATATATCAATAATTAAAATTTGTCAAATGGCACATAGTATAATTTATTAATAAATTAAATTTTAATTTTATTAAGGGTTATTCCAAGGTCAACATAAATAATTTCTAAATCACATAAAGAAACAATATAAATATCCATCTATCAAAATAAAGTTTAAAATAACATAACACAAACAATTTTAGATTAAATATCTTTATGTACACATCTATTTTATGACATTCCAAATATTTTTAAAGCATTGAATGATGATGCTAAAGCAACTTCATCGGGTTTCTTACCAATAAATCCTGCAATTAATTCTACAATTATAGGTAAAGAACATGGTTCATTCCGGTGAAATGTACAATAACGTTGTAGAAATCCAAGAGATCTAAAATAGTATAAAATAATATTACACAAGCTTTAAGTAAATTTATTTTTTAAATTACATTCATTTTTTTTTCAGTTATAAATTTATAATTTGTTATTTATTCTATAATTACTGATCTTACCTTTGAGTTAGAGTAGATTTAATAGCTTCCGAAATATTAGCTGCTCTTGCATTAGGGTACATAAAAGGAGAATCTGTTTGAACCAATATTTTATCTAAAGTTAATTTACCCGCATTAAGGAGCTTCTTTATACCATTTCCAGAACTATCTTTACATAATCCACCTAAAAATAAATAAATAAATCTTATTTATATTTCAATGTATATAAATAAATCAAAACAAAATATAATGTATGTTTTTACAAAAAAATGTTCCATAGTAAATATTCAAACATTTTAAATAAATCAATTTTTTTTTGTAATGTTCAATTTTAAACTAGTTGATGTCTGGCCATTTTAACATTAAAAAAAATTTGTTCATACTCTTTTGTGAAACCCTTTTGTTCAATTGGTAATTATTTAAATAATAAGTGTGAAGGCAAATATAAAGTCAGTAAAAAATTGTAGTAGGAGAGAATACTTTCACTTAAGAAAACAACATAAAAAGACCAGTACATTCAGGACACATTACAGAGGGGATCTGCACACAGGGAACCATTATATATTGAAAGAAATTAAAATCAATATCATAAAATATTTGATGAGACTGTATTAAATATCAGTACTAATTGAAACTGTAATTTATCATAAGCTTAGAACAATGTAAGGGGTCTCCCTCCTTTTAATACGCTTATTAGATGTACACTAAAATTTTAAAAACTTCCTAAATATATTTATAATAATCTTGCATTTAATATATATATTTTTACATTTTTTTTTACTTTGATCTATTTATTTGTTAAATTTATGGCAAAATTGAGGTAAGTATAGATGATATCTGACAGTAATTAAAATCACTATCATAAGAAACGCTTTAATGCAAATCTGTAGATTGAAATTGATGGATAATTACAAAATCAATATCAACTCCTATTTCCTTATTTATATTCTGATTACAAGTTTTATGATATATATGTTTAATTATGAATAATTATTTAATAAATTTATTCAACTTTGACGACTGCACATACAAGATAGGTCGCCAGGACAAATAATTTTTTTTAACTTAAAATATGTAACATAAGCTTTAATATAATATATATTAAAAAAACACAGTATTTTCGGAATATTTTCAAAAGTTAAACTGAAAAAGTTGCTTTTTATGCATATGTTTCAAGTTTTGACACCCTTGTATAGTGAGAAATTGTCCGATTTGAAAATATGTATGTCGAATGATAGGGGTATATATAAAGTATTTAGAAACAAATTTGTGTTGATCCATATATTCTTCAAAAAGTTATAGTAAATTATATTAAAAATATAACATCGAAAATTTTAACACAAAAATAGCATGTTTTTAACCATGACAGCTATTTGTAACTAATAAGTCGTTGAGACAAATTTTTTTTTTTAACATAAACTATAATTTAACATATGTTTAAGAACACAGTATTTCTGGAACATTTCAAAAGTTAAATTGTAAAAATTGACTTTTGTGAAAAAGTTACTATTTTGAATCCCCCCTGTAGGCACGTAAATGGTCAATTTTCAAAAAATTTAAATCAAATAAAAAGAAAATATCTAAGATTTCAATATAAAAACAAATTATTTTGATTGGTTAGTTTCTGAAAAAGTAATGGCAGTTTTAAAAAATAAAAATGTTGAAATTTAACAATTTTAAAAATTATAATTTTTTGGGGGAAATACCCCATATACAAGGAACGAAGGAAATTCTTTTCAATTTTTAAGTACAATGTCTTCAATAAGAATCAATTTGTGATTTTTTTATAGTAAAGAAAGTGTTCCTTGGAGAGCTGAGAAGAAGTGGCAACAGACATAAGAAAATAGATACATCTTAGTAAAAGTAATACCTCCTCCCGCTTTGCATCGAAGCTAAAAAGAAAAAACAAAAAATTTTGAGATTTATAAAATAAAAATTTTTTATCAATTAAAAATTAATTCTAATACATTTTCATTCCATTTTTAATACTAATAGCCGTATTTGAAATTCTGTTATAAGAGCTTTTTAAATTAGGACTTATTGTACTTATTATTAACCTGTTATACCAATATACATTCCAAAGTTTATATAATCTGTAGCTTCTTCAAAAGTTCCCGTAAATGAATGTAATATAGTAGTAGGTAGTGTGGTAGTTGAGTATGATTTTAAGATGCGAAGAAAATCATCATGGGCACCTTTTTGATGCAATAATATTGGTTTTTTAAGTTCTAAAGCCAAAGATAACTGAAAAATGCAAAATAAAATTTAAGAAATAATTTATTTAAAGAAATATCTTTTTATTCATCAAAGTTATTTATTCTAACCTGAATCCTTTTGTAAGCATAATAAAAAATTTCAATTTAATTAGACTGTTAGTATATAAAAATTTTGAACGACAGATTTCCAAAAAAGAATGAGACTGATTTTTATTTTTAAGACAAAGATAAACAAAACAAGCCCATAATCGTTTTGATATTATAATAGTTAGGTTTTCGAGAGAAACCTAAATAAAACATTTTTTGTATACCTCTCTTATAGTGCCTACAACATGAGTAACAAAACCGCAAGTCAAAACTAATTGTTATTATTCTTTACACAGATCAACGAATAAATGACAGGAAAGTAAATGGGGTTTACTACAGTAGAGTATCTATTTTTAAAACTCATAATTAGTCTTAATTATAGACCATTTATGGTACTTATCTCATAAATGCCAATTATTTTTTATTCAAAATGAATGTCATACAAGCATTTTGTACCAACTAATACAATAATGAATATGTCTTATTACAAATTAGTTGTGCAAAGTTGGGTTTTGCACCTCGACAATGTGTTCACACATTCTGTCAATATCACTACATGATTTTTGAAAAAGACAAGAAATATATTAAAGAAATCAAGTTTGAATAGAATGCCAAGGTAAAACATAATTTCGAAGGGTACCTCAAATAGCTTCTACAAAGATCTTTTCAGAGCATTACTAAAAGTAGAAAGAGAAGGAGACCAATGTATTCAAACAATTATAGTTTTAAATTGTAATAAAAAACCCAGCACAGTGGAGTCGCGGCATAGTGGAGATGTTGCATAGTTGGGTCCAGTATAGATTTAATCTGACAGTGATTAAAATCACTATCATAAGAAACGCTTCGATGCAAATCAGTAGATAGTGTTTAATTCTAAGAAATTGGTGGATAATTACAAAAGCTACATTATCTGCTAGTTTCTTATTAATACCCTGATTAAGATAAAGTATGTCGAATGAAAAAGGGATTATTAAAAAATATTATTTCTCATAAAAAAATTGTGTTGATTCGTACACTTTTCAATGAGTTATAGCATTATAAAGTTAAAAATGTAACCAACCCAACCCAACATCAACTCCTATTTCCTTAATTATATCCAGATTAGTAATTATTTTAATTATATATTATATAATTTTTATAATTAATTATTTTCAAATTATTATTGATTTTTAATATGTTAAAAGTAATCATTTTGAACCTACTTCTTTTTGTTCTTTAAAGTGAAAGTTTTAATAAAAAAAAAATGAATTTATTACCATAACTTTTAACTCAACTTGCAAGTTTGAAATAAATATTATTAAATAGAAAAAAATGAAATTGGTAGATTATTTCAAAAACAACAATAACACTTATTCCCTTAATTTTACCCCGATTTATAACTATAATATATGAATACATAATAATTACAGTAATTAAATTGAGTATGAAAGTGGTATTCAATAATATAATATTGTAATTTTTACGGAGATATTATAAAAATAAAAAGGAGTTGTATATTCATATACTTTTAATGCGTATACAAATTTAAAGGAATTTATGCAATACTTTTTAATAAAAAAATTTTGTTACTTATGAATAAATACACTAAACAAAAGGAACTTTCATCAGAAAAAAAATATACTTTTCTAAATAAACTTTTCGTGATGTTTTCAAATGTGCAATTAAACTTTTTCTATTACTTCTAAGTTTTAATATTATTACTTATTATTAAAAAATAAGTATTTACATATAAAAAAAAATAATTAAGAACAAAAAAAATTGTATTAAATTAATACTGATTTTGATTTTTAATATGTTAAAGGTAATCATTTTGAACCTATTTTTTATTGTCTTTTAAAGTGAAAGTTTTAATGAAAAATACCTTCTCAGCTTCGCATCGAAGCTAAAAAATGAATTTGTTACCATAACTTATAGTTCAACTTGCAAGTTTGAAATTGACATTATTAAATTGAAAAAAATGAAATTTTTAAGATTAATATGCAATCTGGAAATTTTATAATTACTAATTACAGTACATTTGTCAGAAAAATTCGATTTTTTTACATTTTTATCGTAATAGATAACTGAAATAGAAAGAATAGTAATCATATCCTAATAACTTTTGGTGTTTAAAAAAATTCTGCAATTGAAATATTCAGAACTTAATTAATTTTAATAATTTACTTTAATTAAATGAACCAATCAAACCAAAGTAGTTAAAAAGATTTACTCAATTGAGCATATTATCAAAAATATAATTATAATTGTAAAACTCCATCGTTAACTTCAGGTGAAACTAAAAATCATTTTTTTTTTAAATTTATGATTTATATAGCAAAATATTACTAAAAAATTTGGCATATTATAGACTGGTAGTAGCACACAGAAATAGAGTTAAAAAATTAATAAATTATAAAGTAAAATTATTTACTTTTGTAGTTGAATACTTTTATCATATCAAATTTAATTCGACAATAAATAATTTAAGAATATTAAAAATTAATGATTTTAATTGTTTGTATGGACAAATCTAGTTAAGCTACTTTTTATTTGAATAAGGAATATTTTTTTGATTTTTAAGAGTAATAACTTAAACTAATCATTAACTTAAATATCATAAACTTAAATGAATCATTTGACGTATCGTTGAAAAAAGTAGGTCTAGTGAGGGTTGGCAAAATAAATCGTAGCCAGAAAAAGAACCACATAGTAAAATAATATTAACATGAATATCAATTTCTTCTCACGAGGGGAGACTATAGTGATAAGATCCTTTATATTTATTGAAATTATTGAATCTAAATGAGATAAATATCAAATGATTTGAAAATTCTATTCTAACTCAAAAAAAAAATGCAAAATTTTAGAAGCCACAAACGGATTTGAACCTCGTACCCTAGGCGTTAAAGATCAAGGTGTTACCCATTCGGCAACTATTCGTTGATTTTTGTTGCATGATAAAATTGGCTATTTAAGCTAACTCAAATTTAAAAATTACTTTTTCGACTTTAAAAAAGTAAAAAATGTTAATAAGTATAATATCATATGTCTTATGAACTTTATTCTATGTCAATGAAATTATATAATATTCATGAAAGTCAGTTTATTCCCCTAATAAAATATTTTAAAATAAAATAAAATACAAAACCTAGAATTTTAATAAAAAATAGCATATTTTTAAATACGGTAGCCTTTTGCGCATAGAAGATAGGTCGTCGGGACAAATTTTTTTTTTTCATTTTATAGTACATAAAATAAGCTTTAATTTGATATATGTTTAAAGGACGCAGTATTTCCGGAACATTTTCAAAAATTAAGTTGAAAAAGTTAGTTTTTGTAAAAAAGTTGCAATTTTAAATCCCCCCCCATGAGCAGGTTAAGTGTTAAATTTTCAAAAAAATTATATCAAATGAAAGGAAAATATCTAAGGTTTTAGTTTAAAAAAAAATTATGTTGATTTGTTGATTTTTGAAAAAGTTATGGAAGTTTTAAGAAAAAAAAGTGAAAAAAATGACAAAATTTGTCGATTTTTAAATTTGTAATTTTTTTGGATATTTCCCCCATTTGCGGGGAACGAGGGAAAATTTTTAAATTTTTAAGGGTAATGTCTTCAACTAGATACAATTTGTGATCTTTTGACGTATTGTTAAAAGAAATCGGTCTAGTGAGAGCTGAGAAAAAGTAGTGACAGACACAAAAAAAATAAAAAAAAAAATAAAAAAAAAAATAAACACATCATGGTAAAATTAATACCTTCTCAGCTTCGCATCGAAGCTAAAAAAATTTATTATGATTATTTTATTCTAAAAAAAAAAACTAATCTTTAAAAATTTAAGTTTTTTCTTTTTTTGGACAACCTATGTAAAAATAATAAATTATACCTGTATTTCAAATACTTTTCTTTGAGTGTCAGGAGTTGAAAAGTCTTTATTATAATCTAATCCACATATACCAATTGCTACACATTCAGAATTACTTGCAATATCTTTTAACTCTTCATAATAGTTGTCATCCCATGACTTTGCTTCATGTGGATGAATACCTAAAAATATTAATAATATTATATGTTAAAAGTATAATTTATTATTTTTAAAAAATAATCTTATAGAGTTGATTTTCAAAAAAATTTAGTATAAGAAACAAATATAAATGTTTGGTACAAAAATTAGTAGACAAACATAAAAAAAATTTAAAGTCAAAAATAATGATTAGACATATAAGTATATGCCTAATAAAATAAAAAATATCAGAGTACAATTCATGTTTACCAAAATGTGAATTTACTTAATTCAATTTGTTCCCCTAATTGATTATTTAAAAAAATTTATACTTATGAACAAATTAAATTAAATGTTTTTATATATTAAATAAATAACTGTAATACACAATATTCCTTAACAAAAAAAAAAAAAAACAAAATTTTCTATTATTTGTTGACCATAACAAGTACAATTAACTTAAAACTACATATTGATGCTTCCTATCAAAAAGGTTGTATACAACATTTTTGTCCAAAATAAACATATCTATTAATAGAGAATTTTAGTACTTCAATCAAAATATTCACAATTCACTTTCAACAAAAATGTCACATACAATGTTTTGTTTTGAAAGCAAATGTATAATTTTTGAAAAAAATACTTGATTAAATCTTGAACTGTAATTAATAAGATTAAGTAAGCAATGAGTTCTTAGGTAGTTTATAGAAACATTTTATAGGATTAATTTGTTAAGAGATAACAGTGAAAAATTTTACCTAAATCTAAAGATTTTTTGTTACACCCACTCCAAAATATAATACTGGCTATGTGCCTATTTTATTATTCAAAACAAATAAATTACATTCTTACACTATAATTTTTAAACTTTAAATACCTGCTGTTGAATATAATGCTCCAGGATAGATTCTAGCTAATCTCAAAGCTTCTTTGCTCGTTTTTAATGAAGTGCATGGAACTATAATTTTTTGTACACCTTCAAAAGTTTATTATTAAAACATGATCAAATAATTGTCATCATAAAAATGTATAACATTAAGACATACCTGAATCTTTAGCTCGTTGTAGAACAGATTCTAAATCTCTACTAAATTTTTTATTAACCATATTTGCTCCAGCATCAATAAGCAAATAGTTATCATAATTTTCTTTAAAAGGATCTATTACTTCTACATTCTCATTATGTTGACTAGCCATTTTTTTTTTTTTTTTTTTTAAAATTTAACAAAATTTACTTGAAAAAGATAAAATTGTGTTGGACTATCATATAGTTTCTAGATAAAAATATAACTAACCTATTAAGCTACCACAAAAAGTCTGAATCAGAATTATAATAAGAAGTCCTAACTACAAATAACTAATTTATTCAAATTATACTATTATATTGGACAATGGAATGCAAAATTAGCAGACGATAATAAATTATCTGTTGCATTTGGTTTTGATAGTTAACAAGGTGAAGTTTGTCAAAACATGATAACAACTGTTTCATACGTGATAAGATAATGGTGGTCTAATACATCTTATAAACAAAAAGTTATAAGGTCTATATCTAATTAATTAATAATGTTATAGCCAACATTTTTAAAACATAAAAAATAAATCTTTTTTAAGAATTATGTAGTCGAGTTTGCTAAACTCAAAGTTCAAATAATCTTCAAAGAACGCATTTTTAGTTGTATACAAGGTAATGATGCGTAGTCATTTTTATTAATTTAGAATAATTACAAACTGTTTAAAATAGATATATTTTATAAAATAACATCATAGGGGCTGGTTGGGTTTGGTTGGCTTCCGGGGAACAAAATCCTAAAGCCCCCTTGATCCATACCCCTTTTGAATTTCAAAAATTACTCAAAGTCGCTCAACCCAAGATGAAGGTAAATTACAAATCATTACTTTAAATTATTATAATTTTCGAACAATTTTTACAATGTTAAGATATGTTTTAGCTTCGATGCGAAGCTGAGAAGGTATTGGTTTTACTATGATGTGTTTTTTTTTTTTTTGTGTCTGTTACCACTTTTTCTCAGCTCTCACCGAACGGATTTCTTTCAACGATACGTCAAAAGATAACAAATCGTATCTAGTCGAAGACATTACCCTCAAAAATTGAAAAAAATTCCCTCGTTCCCCGTAAATGGGGGAAACCTCCAAAAAAATTACAAATTTAAAAATCGCTAATTTTCGAAATTTTTTCAATTTTTTTTACTAAAATATGCCGTAACTTTTTCAAAAATAAACGTATCAATATAATTTTTTTTTATATAAATGCTTGATGTCTTTACCTATCATTTGATATATTTTTTTTGTAAATTTGACCCTTTATCTGCCCACAGGGGGGGATTTAAAAAGACAACTTTTTCACAAAAAATTAACTTTTTCAACTTAACTTTTGAAAATGTTCCGGAAGGTCTGACACTTTTATATATATCTTAAATTAAAGCTAATGTAATATACTTTAATATGAAAAAAATAAAATTGACCTCTGGACTTGTCTTCGTGGTGAAAATGGCTACCAAATGCTATTATTGTGTGAAAATTCTCGATTTTATTTTTTACTTATATTTTTAANTCGATTTTATTTTTTACATTTCAGCTTCGATGCGAAGCTGAGAATGTATTGGTTTTACTAAGATGTGTTTATTTATTTATTTTTTTTTTGTGTCTGTTACCACTTTTTCTCAGCTCTCACCGAACCGATTTCTTTCAACGATACGTCAAAAGATCACAAATCGTATCTAGTCGAAGACATTACCCTTAAAAATTGAAAAAAATTCCCTCGTTCTCCGTAAATGGGGGAAACCTCCAAAAAAATTACAAATTTAAAAATCGCTCACTCGAAATTTTTTCAATTTTTTTTACTAAAATGTGCCGTAACTTTTTCAAAAATGAACATATCAATATAATTAGTCATTACTTGGATGATTTTTTAACTAAAAACTGCCGTAAATTATTTTTTATAGATGCTTGATGTCTTTACCTATCATTTAGTAAATCTTTTTTTAAATTTGACACTTAACCTGCCCACAAGGGGGGATTTAAAATGACAACTTTTTTATAAAAAATTAACTTTTTCAACTTAATATTTGAAAATGTTCCGGAAGGTCTGACACTTTTATATATATCTTAAATTAAAGCTAATGTAATGTACTTTATTATGGAAAAAANTAACATATTAAAAATCAATAATAATTTGAAAATAATTAATTATAAAAATTATATAATATATAATTAAACTAATTACTAATCTGGATATAATTAAGGAAATAGGAGTTGATGTTGGGTTATTTTAATATTATATTTAACTTTATAATGCTATAACTTATTGAAAAGTGTATGGATCCACACAATTTTTTTATGAGAAATAATATTTTTTAATAAACCCTTTTTCATTCGACATACTTTATCTTAATCGAGATATTAATAAGGAACCAGCAGATCAAGTAGCTTTTGGAATAAAACACCAATTTTTTTAAAATTAAACACTATCTAAAGATTTGCATCGAAGCGTTTATTTTTGATAGTGATTTTNTATCAAAGCGTTTATTTTTGGTAGTGATTTTAATCACTGTCAGATATCATTATACTTGATCCAACTATGCCACGTCACCACTGTGCNTCAACTTAAAAATGCTATAACTTTTTGAAAAATGTATATATCAGCCCGTGCTGGGTTTTTATAAATACATTATAAGTACATCTTTCATTTGACATACTTTTTATTAAAATTGGACAATTTCCCCTTATATGGGGGGCGTTTAAAATTTGAAATATTGTAAAAAATATAGATCTTTTTCAACTGAACTTTTGAAAATGTTCCGGAAATACTGCGTCCTTTAAACATATATCAAATCAAAGGTTATGTTATATACTATCAAATGAAAAAAAAAAATTTGTCCCGACATCTTATCTTCTATGTGCAAGTGACTGTCGAAAATTAAAAAAAAATGTAATGTTTGCGATAAAAATTATCTTTTATCGGGATGTTTTTTGTACTTAAAACTGCCATAACTTTTTCAAAAATGAACAAATAAAAATAATATTTTTTTGTATTGAAACCTTAGATATTTCCCTTTCATTTGATATAATTTTTTTTGAAAATCTAACACTTATTCTGCTCACTGGGAGGATTTAAAATAGTAACTTTTTTACAAAAAATAACTTTTTCAACTTAATTTTTGAAAATGTTCCGGAAATACTGCGTCCTTTAAACATATATCAAATTAAAGCTTATTTTATGTACTACAAAATGAAAAAAAAAAATTTGTCCCGACACTTTTTTTTCTACATTTAAACGGCTGCCGTAGTTAAAAAAACACTATTTTTGTGTTAAAATTTTCGATTTTCGATTTTAAATTTTCAACTTAAAAATGCTATAACTTTTTGAAAAATGTATATATCAGCACAAATTTTTTTTTTCTAAATACATTATAAGTACATCTTTCATTTGACATACTTTTTATTAAAATTGGACAATTTCCCCTTATATAGGGGGCGTTCAAAACTTAAAATATTGTAAAAAACATAGATCTTTTTCAACTGAACTTTTGAAAATGTTCCGGAAATACTGCGTCCTTTAAACATATATCAAATCAAAGGTTATGTTATATACTATCAAATGAAAAAACAAAATTTGTCCCGACATCTTATCTTCTATGTGCAAGTGACTGTCGAAAATTAAAAAAAAATGTAATGTTTGCGATAAAAATTATCTTTTATCGGGATGTTTTTTGTACTTAAAACTGCCATAACTTTTTCAAAAATGAACAAATAATGTTGCGTCTGGTTCAATCTGTATAATAAATAAATTGATAATTACGAATGTTTATTAATTGTGGAATGTATCTGTTATTATTATTTTATTGTAAGCTGGCGATTTGTCCGCGCGCGTACGTATATCGAGCATAACTGGTCTTATATTGGTCGGCGACCATCATTATTATTGGTATCGCTTAATCACGTGATAACGAGCGCGAACAAATAAAAATAATATTTTTTTCTATTGAAACCTTAGATATTAATTTGATATAATTTTTTTTGAAAATCTAACACTTATTCTGCTCACTGGGGGGATTTAAAATAGTAACTTTTTTACAAAAAATAACTTTTTTAACTTAATTTTTGAAAATGTTCCGTAAATACTGCGTCCCTTTAAACATATATCAAATTAAAGCTTATTTTATGTACTATAAAATGAAAAAAAAAATTTGTCCCGACCACTTTTTTTTCTACATTTAAACGGCTGCCGTAGTTAAAAAAACACTATTTTTGTGTTAAAATTTTCGATTTTCGATTTTANAAAAATATGCTATTTTAACAAATTTTTTTTTTTTAATTATACACTATCTACAGATTTGCATCGAAGCGTTTTTATAGATGAATAATGTTTTTACCTGTCATTCAGTATATTTTTTTTATAAATCTGATCCTTTACCTATCCACAGAGGGGATTCAAAATGACAACATTTTCACAAAATGATAACAAAGATTATTTTATATATATATATATAAACAAATTTTTATTTTGACTGACCAATACCATCCGCGTGTCATTCGGCTTATATACAGAGTGTTCAGTAAGTCAGGAAACGGGTTTCTATTGTTCTCATTGTTTGTAACAATAACAACACTCTGTATATTAATACGCTTTATTCTAAGAGATATAAAGTATTCATTCCGATTACGAGGGATGATTTCCGTATCGTCATTTTTCGTCACTACTTCCACGTTCTGGGAGGGAGTAATTTGCGCACCTGCTGCTTTCCTTGGATGTGGTAACCATTTCTCTGACTCCCTCTCCGGAATCGAACTCTGATTTCCCGTTACCCGTAACAACCAAGATATTGATAGTAACTACTATCATAACATGAAACTAAAAAGTGAAAAATAAATATAGTTTAAAAAAACTATAAAACACGCTTTAAAAGCACATCGAACTAAAAAGTTAAAAATAATTTTTAAAATAATTATGAACAAAAAATACTAGTATTATTGTGATAAACGCGTGGGTGCTTTGTGCCATATTTTTCGTATATTGAGCGCCCGACGCTTTTATCACAATAATACTAGTATTTTTCGTTCATAATTATTCTAAACTTATTTTAAAAATTATTTTTAACTTTTTAGTTCGATGTGCTTTAAAAGCGTGTTTTTTTTAACTATATTTATTTATCATTTATCATTATTTCAACTGTCAGCTATAAAAATTTGCTAATTTCCGAAGTACTGATCTAAAGGTTATTATCGTTCAGTCGTTTTCTTAATTAGATTATTTTCTATTTTATGAGCTAATTTAATATATATGTAGCCATTTAAATAAAATAAAGTTAAGAAAGGGATAAGGGTGAACCTAAAAAATATAAAACCACGACTCAAAAAAATAACATTTTCAAGATTATTATTATTTTAAAATAAATTTAATGAACAATTATAAATCAGTTACTCTGCTAATATTACTATTACAGTAGTATTAGATACAGTAGTATTTAGGGTATTAGACCATAAAACTATTTAAAAATATTTTAATATAATGTCACACAAATTATATTTAAAATTTTTATAAATCTATTAAGTTTCAAACTTTGTAAAAATCATTAATATTTTTTTAGTTTTAATTTAAAAGTTTAGAAAAAAATTATTGGAGTACATGACCGATTTTAAGCAGCTTCTGCAAATTAAAGTTATACACACGAGGCTTAGATAATTTATGGGAAAATGGTGGGATAAAAACATAAACCTCTTCCCAATATTTTAAATTTATTTTGGTTCCATAAAATATATTTTATAATGGTTTGAACCCACGCCACCTTTAATTTTTTTTTATGTAACAATAATTGTTAATTATTAACATAATATGTAATTTGTATTTTGAAGAGATGGGGTGGTTATATCTATGATTTGCGAGTATCATTAAAACTTAAAAGATGTTGAATTTATTTTTTTTGCAATTGACATCTGGGCGTCCCGAGCCAAGTTTTATTAAAACCACTTCATCAAATCCATCCAAGGATATTACATACTTCAATAAATATAAAATTTGTATTTATTTATTACAAAATTTTTACTAGAAAAAAAAGCCTTGTAGTAGCTTAGTACGAATAAGTATTCATTTAATATTATAATGACAAGACAGCAGACGCAGTACAAAATAGAATAGTAAGGAGCACGGCAATTTATTTTAGTGTTGGTAAGGAATAGTAGTAGTAGTGATTTTATCGCTGTTATTTCACAATTGCAATGAATAGCTGCTCATCAAAACGATTAATAGCAGTGACTGTCATGGCCGGATTTAAGGGCTGCAGCCCAGAGGACCCCAAAAATTTGGTATGCATTGGTATCACAAATATGATAATAATTGTTATTTAATAAATAAAAAAATATATTTCCTTGTTTATGTATAAAGGGCCACCACAATGCATTCCGCCCAGGGGCCACCACATACCTAAGTCCGTCCCTGGTGACTGTTAGTTTTATTTATCAATATTATTACTTTTTTGATCACATTGATAACTGTCACAAATTACTAAGTCAGATTTAACGATTTATTTAAATAAATTGACTATTAGAACGACAATTATTAACAATGTCAATCAATAATGATAATTCCTCATGCTGGCACGATTACTATTATACATTTTTAAATATTTTCCTAGATTACTCGATAACTCTCAGAAAACGAATTTTTGGATAGTTTTTATTTTATTATCTTTAAGTACATTGGATTAACTTCAATGTAGGTTTTAAGAATACAGATTTTTTGAAACATTTTCAAAAATTGAAAAGAAAAAAATTTGTTATGATGATATTATCTCTTCTCAGTATTTTAGTTAATGGTAGAATTTCCAAAAAAACTTTTTATTTTTACTTTTATAATATGCATAGTTTTAATCATTAAGTATAACTTGATAATGAAGTCGGAATATAGGTTGTCCATTTGGGTCTAATTTAGTAACCGTAAATACCACTGGTCACAGGGAAAATAATTTTGTTTACTTAATGAGTCATTTTGATTTAAAAACTACTGAACCGATTTTTATAAAATTTCCATGGGACTAGTTTAAAAGCATGCCATTTTAAATAAAAAAAGAATTTTTGAAATCGGTCTATTAATGGTGGAATTTTAGGTAAAAAAAAAAATATAACCGAATTCATAACCTCTTCCTTTTTTAGAAGTCGGTTAAAAATAAATTATGTTATATGATTACTAGAGTATTCAATTCGGATTCCGCCCTAGTAGCATTATATTGGTTCCCGGTCGGTTCAAGCGACCTACAAGTGCTGGGAAAGTTCGATGTTCAATAATGAACCGTGTAATTTTTTATAAACTCTAGGACAGTTCAGTATTCAATAAATAATAGAGCAATTTTTGGTAAGTGCTAGGATCTTTCAATTTCCAAAATAATTGTACGGTTTCACTTAAGTTCAGGGTTGCAAATAGTAATTTGTCTCTCAGTTAAATACGTTTCATTTTATTGTTTCAGTTTATTAAAAGCGCACGCACTTATAATGATATCCTAATGGAAGAATTGTTATAACGGTTCAAATGATTCTCTTCAGTACTATTAATAGACAAATTATGCCTTAATTCTGTTAAGGAATTGAAGTGATGCGAGTGAGAGGCACAAAAAGGTAGACGACATAATATTAACGTAACTGTTAGTGGCTGTATATTAAAATGTGCTTGTATATTAAACTGACACGATTGCGTGGTGTCATACAGGTGACAACGCTGTGTCAATTCATAAATTAATAAAAATTAAAAATACAAACAACTTTGCTCTTATAATTTTTTTTCCGATCAACCATTCGTCTGTTACAGCTTGTTAAAGTTAAATGATTTTGGACTAAATTTCTATTATTTCACTGTTTTGAATACAGGAGCCACTCATTTTCTATGGTGTAACATAAACTAATTTAACTTAATTCAGTTTATAAGGTTATGCTACAAGTTTTAATATATATCCGTCAACAAAAATAAAAATTACTTTGTGTAAGCAATGATTACGATAACATTATCGTATTATTCGATTATTTTAAGAGTCACTATACTACGCGTAGAGTTGGGTTTTTCGAAGAAATTGATTCTTCAGTATTACAGTTTGTCTTACAAACCAATAGACTGTGCTTTTAATATTATAATTAAGGTCCGATTTGAATCTATTATTATTATCTTTCAATTTGTGTGTCGTAAATTATTATTGCTATCTTACATGTCATATCTTGGTCAATAAAAATTATTTTATATTAAAAATAGTGACTTCTGTATTCAAAACAGTAAAATAATAGAAATTTAGTCCAAAATCATTTAATTTTAAAAAACTGTAATAGATGAACGGTAGATCGGAAAAAAAAATTGTAAGAGCAAAGTTGTTTGCGTTTTTATTTTAAATCATAATAACAAATTCAAAATAGATTCCCATTTAAGAAAATTTAAGTTAATGTTTTTTAACCTTGAAGAGATGAAAAAAATTATGATTTTACTACATATTTTTGTAGAGTTTTTTGAATTTAACAATATTTTCCTTACCAAAAATTTTAAATTTTCAATATTTGCTGAGAAAACGAGCGGTTTATACTTAATGAAAACCCCTGTATATGAATACGGTGGTCTAGAGTGGTTAGGTTTGTCTCTACAACACTTTGTGTCGTGGGTGTTATATACCGTGCCTTCTTTTAACACAGGATTCCCAGTACACTATCTTTGACCTGTCAATGTTATACTGTAATACTAAAAGGTTCATTTTTTAATAATTTATTAAACGACCCTAAAAGAGTTGGTACTAAATAGTAAATCGATATAACTCAATAAATATTTTTATAATTTTACTATACTTTTTCAGTTTATGATTAATTACTTCATGGAGTTCACAATTTAATAGGTAGTATAATAATTAATAGTCATTTATCATTTACACTAGTGTTTGAACTAGCTTTATTTTTTTTTCATCGTAGATGTTAATTTATTGGCTTTTATTACTTCAACTTAATAAAATAAAAATTTATACTCTTTTGAATTAAAATATTTTTATTTAAAATAATACAATAAATACAATAATAAATACAGTGGATTGAAATCTATTTATTTGTATATACTGGTGTTTAGTAAATAAGATAATGGTTTCTATTGTTCTTATTGTTTGTAACAATTGAACTGTTTCCTTACTTTTTGAACATTCTGTATATTATTTTATGCTTTCAAATGTTATTATTTTTTCTTGTGATTTCGAGTTTCATCATAAATAACTGCGTCGGCACAATGTACAGTACACAAAACAGTAGCATAGAGTTATTTTTAAGTAGGTTATACATAAAAACATTTTTTATTACCCTCTATAAACAAAAAAAAAATTATTTTTAACATGTAATCAATTTTACTTGGGGAATCTATCCAATTCAACTTCATCTCTCTTGACACAGGGCAAAACATAGCACCGGCATTAATAAATAATATTTTCCAAAACCAATAGTCTTTTTATGAGCAATACAATATGCATCTTTTTTAAGAATGCATAATTAACAATTTGAAAAAATTATTTCAAATAAAGTATATACACGCCTCTCATTCCTTATCATAGTTTAAACGACACCGAGTTTTTAGATGTTTGTAATTAAAAAACTATTCAAAATCAAATCTAAGTTACTTATTATTTATATTATTATTGTCATATTCCATTAAATGCAATGACCCGATTTATAATTATTACAATAGGAATAATAAATAAATAATATATACACAAATTTGACTTCTTACATAACTGTTCTATGTCGGTGTATCTCAATGATCTGAATATTGTGATGGGTTACTGTTTATGAAAACTTAAGATATAGAACTAAAATCAAGAGAATAGCTATTATCGAAGTGTAAAATATCGTTGAATACGATTGACTGGACATGTTGTCTATCGTATACGTACAAATATTATTTTTTAATTTTTTTATTATATTTCATATTTATAGTTATGCCACAGCTTTAACATCTGTCTCATCCATTGTACAATAGTTTCTTACCTTATAAGAGTTGGATGGGCTAATTAATTAATAGTTTAGTGATTATTATCTCAAAATAATAAATTTCAAGTTTTTTTTTGCATTTTACCTATTTACTTCATTATAAATTTATTTCAAGTGGTTAAACCATAAATAATATACATTATACATGTTTGGCTAATGTGTATCAAATTATCTAAGAAAAATAATGTAAAAAGAAAAAAAAATTCAATAAATATGAAAAAAAATAGATATATTTGTAAAAATAATTTTTACAAATTAAAAAAATATAATCAAAAATTATATTTTAAAGTAATAACAAATTATAAAATAAGGTAACAACATTTTTACAAATTAATATGGAAATATATACAAAAAGTATGCTTAAAAATCTACTCTACCTGTACACTTACACACAAAATTATAGACAAATATACGTACATATGATAAACAAGCGGTTAGGGAAAAACACAAAGTATTACAAAAAATATATTTGTTGTGTATCGAGTGCCCTGTGAGCAAAGAGAAACCATTAGTTTACAATACATTGATGTGTACATCAATCCCATAACTTTTTTAACAAGTAATAAGTCTAATTTCTCAAAATACACTTGTAAAATAAGCCTTAAAAAAAAAAAAAAATTTAACAGTAAAATAAATTTTTATTTTTTATTATAAATAAATTATAAATATTATAAAATTTTTAATTTGACATAGATTTAAAGAACAGATTGTACTAATTTTTTTTTAAAATAAATAAAATAATGGCTTATATTTTTTATTATGTTTAAACCCTCTTTGTACCTAAGTTATTTTTGAATTTTGCAAAAAAAAAAATATATACTAATAGAAAGATAATAGTGTATAATATTACCCCTATTAATTTTTGATTTTTCCAGTTTTTTCTAAAAAAAACATTTGGTAGTACACATTATTGTAAAATTAATACTTTTTCAGTATTTCATAAAAACCAATAAATGTTAAATACTTATTTTATATCTAAAATATTAATTAAAAACAAAAAAATTTTAACTTCACATTTAATAAGTTCAATGTTATAACAAAATAAAATACAATGATTATAAATTATAAATAACCTTATACATTTAAGAGTAAATAAAACGAAAGAATTCAATATCCTGGAAAATTAGCCTGTAATGGGTTTTGGACATCAAGAAGAGTGTATACATTACCAGCAATACCTAATAAAAAACAACTACTAATTAATATTGGCTTTAATATTTTACTTATATATTTATTTTTGGAATAAAATGTACAAAAATACTTTTAAAAATAAAATAATTATTAACCTAAATATTTACACACTTAAAAAAAGTGGAAAATCAATTTTAGCTGAAAAGCAAGTTAAGATTTATTATTTATTGTGCGCATTAAAAAATAGTCAAATTATTTCTGTAATGTTAACGTGTTTTTACTGTTTTAATTCAAAAATGTAAAGTACAGTAAATATCAAGTAAAGTGAAGTTAAGACATTTTTTCTTAATACTACTAATTGATTTTTGATAGTGACTGAAATCACTGTCGTATAATGCTTCGATGTGTGTATGTGAAACACAAAAAAAAAAATTAAATATATTTATCAAAAATTACATGACTTTTGACAGAGGTTTATTATTCCATGAGGATAAGTCACACGCAAGTTTTTCTTTTTTTACTCGTATATTACATTAAATAAGCATTAATTAAAATAATAATTTAGAATGATGTTGATATTCTGTTAATATAACACGACAAAGTACCGTAAATTTTGTATCTTATTAGCTGCTTTATTATATCGCGAGCCCAACCTGATTAATTGACTTAGGGTGCTAAGTCTATCTACTGGAGCGCGGTCGACTGCCGAGCGCTGGTGGTGAATGCTCTCTCATGTTTCTGACATCCTACGCGAACTTACGCCATCCACCGTTTTTCACGTGTAGTACATCGAAAGGTGTACTTTTATATAAATTATTAAAATCATAAGGAGTTGTATTTTTTTTCTTCCGTTTAGTTTTAAATTTACATATTTTTTTTTCCTAGGCTAGTGCCGTTATAAATAATAGTTAAACATTATTATACGTGCTTGTATTACCTATATATATATATAAGCCAATCATTGAAATTAGGATTATCCATGTCAAACACTTTAAGAAGGGACATTTTTATTGAAAATTGTATGATTTTTAAATTTATTACATGATAGTTTCTAAAAATAAAGTTTTCAGATAATTTTCTTTTTTTTATCTTATATTGTATTAGCTTTAAAAATAGTAATATTTTTTATATTTACATACAGAATTTTATTTTTTAATAGTAAAAAAACTATTATAAATCTTAACTTTCAAATGTTATTTCCAAAATCTACCATTTTTATTGCTGTTTATTTACTAATTGGAATTTCGTAAATATTTTTTATTGTGTATTAAGGCGTGAATCTATTTGCATTTTTTAATTTCGTTTAAGCCACTTTAAAGGGTCACAAATTTTTGAGATTTACATATATTATTTTTCATATTTATATTTTTGCTATTTAAAAACAAAAAATTGTACTTTTGATTTTTTTTTTTTTATAAAATTATCCATTTTTGGTAAAATTTAAATTGAATAGGTTATTTTTTTTTTCTGAAAATTGCTCATTAAAATTATAGCTTCATAAATACAGTTGAATTAAATAAATAATATTTTTGATATTTATTTTATTTTGTAAATAATTGAGTTGATTGGGATAGATAAATGACATATCATATAAAATCTACATAATAACATAATGTAGTTTTTATACATTTAGTGGTATTTTCTATTTTATAAAAAGTAACAAATAAGAGTAATATAGTTATTTAGATTGTATTTTTTTATTAAATACCAATAAGTATTATTATATATTTATTAATAGTAAACCCAGAATAAAATATAAGGTATTGTATATTCTCTCTAAAAATAGAGGTGCTAAAAATTATTAAGTAGCCCTAGTTTTGTCAGTGGAATTAATTTTAAGTAACTTTTTTTCATATAAGTTCATAAAGCATTTATAATCAAAAATAAATCATTTTTGTAAGTTTTATTAATTTTAACAACAGAACTTAATGCATATTTCAAGGATTTTTTTTAAATGCATTTAATTTTGAAACTTTTTATATATACATAAATTTAGACTCTAATTATGAATAAGAGTAAAAATAATTTTATACATTTAATCTAAAAAAATGTCCATTTTAGAAATTTCTAACTCATCGCACTTGTACTAGACCATTGAAATAGAAAAATGTATTTTAACAAACAATAGCCTAAAAATGTTTTGAATATAATTACTATATATAAATACCTTCAAACATAGAGAACGATCGATTAAGTTCCTTTATTTTAGAATCATTTGTTAAACACCAATCGATAAATTTAGCAGCTCTGTATAAATGTTTAAATTTCTGAAAATGAATTTAGAAAAATTAATTATAGTAACAATAATAGATGTATTATAAATACTTAATATGATAATTATTAAAAACAAGTTTTATTTATTAGGCTTCATGGGAAAGAACACATTTATTCAAACTTTAAGAAATGAACTTACTTTGTTCTTATTTTGTATGATTGTGGACATTTTTAATTTATTCATTGTAAAATTTATTTGTAATAAAAATTGTTTTTTTGTTGAGTTTAAAAAAATAAAATGAAATATTTAGAATTTAAAATCAATTATTTCGTATGATTTTTTAATAAGATTGTGGTTTCCACTACAGATATAAAATAAAATATAGATTTATTTTGTCAAAGGATTTTAGTTGCTCGATTTTTTTGAGCTGTATTATCAATTTAATAGGAAAAGTTTATAATATGATGAACTAAATTATTTTTGATAATTATGATTATTTTATAATTATGAATTATTTTTGAGAAGAACTTTCCCATCACTGTTTATTATTTAATTTTAATTTATTATACTGTTTAAAACAGTATAATTATCCCAATTAAAAACAAATAAATTATTGCTTACTTTAGTTACTTTAAATAAAGATATGAATGCATAAGTGTTACCACTTAGGCCATGGCATAATCCATATCCTTTAATTAACAAACCTCGTTCCCAAATAACATCTCCAAATTGTTCTGCAGCAATTAAATATTTAGTATCTTTCAAAATCTATAAATACATTAACCAATTAGTATCTTTAGTATGGTATTATTCAAGAAGACATAGAAAGCTAAGTCGTCAGGACAATATTTTTTTTTTTTAACTTTAAGTACATAATGTAAGCTTTAATTTTACATATGTTTAGAGAACACAGTATTTCCAGAACATTTTCTAAAATTAAGTTGAAAAAGTTCTACTTTTTATACGTATGTTTTAAATTTTGAATGCCCACAGTATAAGGGGAAATTTTTCGATTTATAAAAAAAAGTATGTCGGATGAAAGAGGTATATATAATGTATTTAAAAAAAAAATTTGTGTTGATATATACATTTTTCAAAAAGTTATAGCTATTTAAAGTTGATAATATAAAATCTAAACTTTTAACACAAATATAGCATGTGAGCAGATTAAGTGTCAGATTTTCAAATAAATGGTATCAAATAAAAGTAAAATATCTAAGGTTTCAATAGAAAAAAAAAATTATTTTGATTTGTTTATTTTCTATAATTTTTAGAAAAAAAAAGTTTTAAAAATCGTAATTTTTTGGTGGATTTTTACCATTTATGGGAAACTAGGGAAAATTTTTTTAACTTTTGAGGGTAGTGTCTTTAACTAGTTACGGTTTGTGAACTTTTGATGTATAGTTGAGAAAAATTAGTTCAGTGAGATCTGAGAAAAAGTAGTGACAGACACAAAAAAAAAACCACATCATAGTAAAATTAATACCTTCTCAGCTTCGCATTAAAATTAAAATGATCAGTATGCCGAAAATAGTTATCGGATAGATTTTTCTCACCCTGATTAAAATAGATATAAAATTGCTATTACTTTTGGCTAAAATTTTATTTTAACTAACTTCATAGGCTAATAAAAATGTTTGAGTAGCCCCTGCAGCACCATGGCACCATTGAACTAAACGGTCTTTATCATTATTCAATGATGATGGCAAATTACCAGATTTGAATTGTAAAGTCAGTAAATAATCTAATGCAGGCTTAATTAAATCATATAGTTCCTTTTGAGTAAGGTAATTTTTCATCTAAAAACATATATACAAAAAAAAACTGAATTTATTTATAATAAATATTCAATTACTTTTATATTGAGTAATTAAATAAATATATGTGTATTTATTAGGAAGCAACAACAATTATCGAATATCAATATTGATATTTAATTTTAATATCAAGATATTTTTTGATGTTAATTTGAACATGCTAGTCAAAAATTGAATTTTAAGTTTAATTTTGATTTTACATAGATAGAGCATATATGTGGTGCAGTGAATCATTTAGCTGCCACCTTAATGCTGATGGATAACCATACGAGAACTATAACAGTACATACACCTTGCCCTAATATTGATTCTCTCAGACATAATGAGGTTGACAAAAGTGGATGCAAATTTTCATCTAATCGTTAAGGCAGAGCCAACCTATATAGTTGGGGATACAGGTTAAAGTGATGGTGTTGAGTTTAAATTATACTTAAATCTTTTTCAAAGTTGTGTTAAGTCTGAATTGTCTATTTTAAACATAAACAATTTTTGCCGATATTTTATCTATAAAACAAGGTACATCTCCCCCATAAAACTCTTCATTCGTAAATCTAGTTACCTTTTGAAATTAAATTTTTCACGGTTAATTTAATAACGCAGTACTAAAATTATTGTAGTGTAAATATCTATAATATCGATATTGATATTAATATATTTTGCTATCGCTCTAAAATACTCAAAAAATCAGAATAATAGATATGTCCGAAAAAAAATTGTTGAAAACCATTAGTATTTACTAATAATAAACAGTGCAAGATTCCTAAAAGACCATGTGCCGCTCCAAAATATTTTTTTTCATGCCATTCATACATAATTGGTGTTGTTTTAATGTTTTCTTTAGAACAAAGACTCATACCAGAATCTAATATTGCTGACACTACCTAAGATAGAAGTTTACAAATATTTCTTTTAAATAATATTTATAATTAAATATAAATATCCAGATATTGTAATTACTTGACGTATTATATCATCACTATTTACGTCATTCCAACCTAAATTTTTAAGAACCATTAATGAATATAAATATCCAGCACGTCCATACAATATTTCATCAGAAGTTTTAGGATCCAGTGCAAGAGGTAACATACCTACAATTCTAATATAAATGTAATTTTTTAATTCAGCTAAGTAGAAAAATAGTATACTATAAAATATATTTTTAAATTAAAAATATATATCTATATTTCATTTAAAACTTTAAATAGCTTTCATCAACAATTTAAAAAGTGTTAGGTCATTTGAAGGTAGCGATTGAATAAAAATATATAATTTAAAATTTTATTAACGAACATTACTTAAAATAATATATGAAGAATAAAGATTCCTAGTCATTCTATAAAAATGTTAAATTCTATAAATTAATATTACATCATTAAACTGCTAATTTAACTTTACCAACATTTTATTAAATTGTTGATGTTATTCATAAAATTATTCACTAGTTTTATAATAATTAGTGTGATGCCATCGACATTTCAAATGCTATTAAGCTCTGAAGTTCAGCTTCATTTGTCACTACTAGTTATCAGATGTGTTACAACACAGTAAATTAAATTGCAGTAAAAAATATGATCCCTAGAACAAAGGGAAAATGAAAAACCAGTGAATTTAACATTTCTTCAGGGTTCACAAGTCTAATCAGAAGTTATCTAATGTTAACCTATTTAATGGTTGAAAAAATATAAAATTAAAAACAGATGATAAATACTTCAATACGAATCAAAAATTCAGCTACAAATAATTTATTTAATTTTTGAGTTGATATAACAGGGGTATAATTATGAAGGGTGCGCTCTCTTCTAAATTTATGCTACAAGCTAATTTATTACTGCAAATGATAATTTAAGGACTTTTGGATTATACATGCCTATAATAAATTACATTATTAATTGTAGTAATCATGGTATACTTATAATAAAAATTAAATTTTCATACTCATCAATCATAAGTTTCATATTAGCATGATCATTGCTTTCCAAATATATAGAAGCAGCTGTAACATAAACACCTGATTTTCCAGTCAAATATGTAATACGCTTTGAAGTAGAATCCAATATTTTCAAACATTTTTCAATAATTTGTTTAGATTGCTTTTAATTGATAACATCTAATTAATATTTTCACAATTAAGTATAATTTTTTTAAAGAAATATTAAAAACCTCAAAAGTTTTATGTTTGTTATTGGTTTTTGAAGCATAAAATTTGAATAGTAAAGCAATTCCAGCCATTCCAGAATAAATTGATTCTACTGAACAATTATTTTTATTAGACATTTTAAAAAAAATATCTGCTTGTTTGATTAACTTTGAAATGTGCTTTTCAATAACTGCATTTATCTTTATAGCAAATGTGATATCAATTTTCACTTCATCAATAGTGTACTAAAACAAAAAAAATTATGTAGAGTGATTTATATGCCATAAATTAATAGAAAAATAAAAATAATGAAATTTTTTTTTTAATTTATTAATCATAAATTATTTTTATATTCTTTATAAGGGGTCAACTTTATTTTTTCAAACATACATAATTAACTAAGTTATTTAATAATTATGATTTAATTAAGACAATGATTGGTCGACAAGTTTTGGACCAGTATTTTGGAAGTTATTGATGTTTTTATACTTTAGTGGAAAGAAAAATGCTGCCAAGAAATGACTAGTAAGAAAATTAAGAACAACTATGTCTCACCTGCAGCCTTCACTATAATATTTTAACTATAATTTAAATGATATTTTTACAAAAGAAAAATTATCTTTTCTGTTCAATATTAAACAGTTTTAAATAAAGATAGCTATTCTGTATATACATGTTTTAATATAACTTTAAATATCATTAGATAATTTACAAAAGCAAACATATCTTATCTAACAGCAATAAAAAATATTTAAATAAAAAAGTAAAATTATAATTAAAGCTGTTAAAATTTAATTTTTATTTGTTTATGGTTATGGGTATTGCAATTATTAATTTTATATTATGGACAAAAAAACTTACATATAACTTTAATAAGTTGTTTATATCTTCATTTGATTGATTTTCAGAAACCTTACTAAGACCATTTATAAAAAATCTATCATTTTCTTTCTTGGGACGTTTAGAATTAAAAAAAATCGCTTTTTTGTCACTCATTTTATAAATTATTACTAAATTCTAGTTAAAATTACACTTCATACATTTATTTTAAGTGTGTACATAACAATTGTAAGTTGCTTAAAAATAAAAACTGTACTTTTCTTTTTTAAAGTTTTAACAGTATTGCAATTATATTAACGGCAAGAAAAATTAAAGAATATAACAAAAGTATATAAAATAAATTGTTTATTTAGTATTTTATGAAAATTATAAATGCAGTATAATAAGTATTTCATTGTGAATAAGTCAAGGAAAATTAATAGATGTCTGTATAGTAAACCTAAAACATAAATAAAAAATATCGTTCTAAATAATATAAACAACATTTTTATAATGTATAATTATATATGTATAATTATGATAATAGAATTACTCTTTAACAATGGGTAAATTTAAATCGATTATTACAAAGAAACTAAAGAATGTAAAAATTGATATCGATATAGTTTTATAATCTATATTAGAAATTACCGAAAAACTGAAACTATCATTCATTATAATAACTCGATATATTTACTAATTATATTATAATTTTCTTATATGCAATTAAAAAAATTATAATAATAATCATCAAATATTATAAATTTAATCAAAATCTGTGGTAATAATCGATAGCTAGTTAGATGATAAAATAGGAGCTATCTAGTAAGCCAATTACGTTTTACAAAATTGATAATCTTAGTCAAAAGTGAAATTTTGTTTCTCATAAATCTGTTAAATAGTTGTTATTTTATTTCCTATTATTCACAAGATTGTATATATATTTGTAAATTAAAACAGAGTAAGTAATGATTTTTCATTTAGTTTCTTGAAATTATTTGATCTAATAACAGTAATATGAGAATAATTCTAACTTCCTTACGAGTGTTATATAACTAAAATATAACATTTGCATATGCATTATAATATGAAGCGTAACAATTATTTTATTGAACTAATTAGAAACTATGCTAAATTAATTTCTTTGATGATAATACTATTAATAATGTTTAGTAAGGTATATTATCGTTTTATTTGATATAACCCAATTACGCAAAATAGTCATTTTTATAGATAAAAAATTTGATCTTTGGCATTATTTTATGTAGTAGTATTTAAATTATAAACACTATCGAATATTTTAAAGAATTTTGCTCAAAAAGCCACTAAAATTTTCATAAAAGATAATTATTCATAGTGCTGGTTTGATAATTAGGATGTCCAATTATGTTTAAGTATATTTTTATTAAAAATAAGTTTGTGACTGAAGTTAATATTTTAAATAATTTTTTGTTTTTAAATATATTTATTTATTTAAAAAAATGATTGTAAATGTTATTCACTATTATGAGATTATTTGAAACAGTATATTAGTTAACATAATTAAATAAAAAATGTCATTAATAAAACGTATTCCAATCTCTTTTTGAAAATTATAAATTTATGCTGTCTCTTTCATATACATAGCTTTACGTGTTAGGTTATGCATTTTTAGTTAATTTAATCGTATATCTATGAATTTCTCTAAAAGCTATACTTTTTATATTATCACCATTAAAACATAATCTTTCTTAGTTTTATTAATTATACAGAAAAGCAAAAAACTAATTTTTGTGATATCGAAATCACATTGTATTATACCCTCAATTTTCTGTTTATCACTGTTTCTATAGAATCTATCACAAATCTATAAATTTATTAATAAATAAATTTAAGTCCTCTAGTTTTTATCCCATTTAACTATGAATAGATCATTTTAACTAAAACATCTCATATTTTTGCAATTTTTAATGTCAAATTTTAGTATTATAGACTTAGTTTTTAATATTTGTTCAATTTTTTTTTAAAGAAAAAGTTAAATTTTTTTTAATATATTGAAATTATGAAAATGGATTTACTTATTAATAATCAGATGCCAAAAAGATAAAGGTAGTATTTTTAGTCAAAAAGTATGATCATGGATAAAATTAGAAAATGAAGTATTCACCTAGAAAACTCAAGCTTATATTAAAGCATTATGAAGTCAGTGTTCAAAATTTTAATGGCGTTATAGGCATTAAATTTTATTCTATTATTTAATAAAAAATTATACTAGTTCTCTCAACCATAATAAAGTTGTGTCAGGTTGTCAGTGTAAAAATTGACAAATCGTAAGGTAAAGCAAACCTTATTAAGATAAGAAACATTGTGTGATGCTACCAACAAAGCTAAATATATGATAATATTATTTATTAAATCTATTTATAAATTCAAATTAACAAAGATTCTTATTAAATGTTGGCTTATTTAAAAATTTAATAACTAATATTATTGTGAGGAAATGTATTTAAGTAAAAAAGACATTTCATAGAAATTATAAATGAATCATTCTATTTTAAATTTTGCTTATTTTTTTATTCCAATAAATAATTAAATTATTATTCTCATTGGTAAAATAACATTTAAATAATATTTTGTTGATATTAATATATTAATGAATAAATGAATTTCATTACAGGTTTTGTCAATTTATATTTTTATTTTAAATTACTATACATTATGTCCACTCCAGCTAGACGAAGATTGATGCGAGACTTTAAAAAATTACAAGAAGACCCACCTGCTGGAATTAGTGGCACACCAACTGATAATAACATTATGTTATGGAAAGCTGTTATTTTTGGTCCTCATGACACACCATTTGAAGATGGGACATTCAAATTAACAATAGAATTTACTGAAGAATATCCTAACAAACCACCAACAGTCCGATTTGTCTCAAAAATGTTCCATCCAAATGTCTATGCCGATGGAGGTATTTGTTTAGATATTCTTCAAAATCGTTGGAGTCCAACCTATGATGTTGCTGCTATATTGACTTCTATACAATCACTTTTGAGTGATCCTAACCCAAATTCGCCAGCCAATTCAATGGCTGCACAACTGTACAAAGAAAATCGTCGAGAATATGAAAAAAGAGTGAAATCTTGTGTTGAGCAAAGCTTTATTGATTGAAACAACAAATACTAGTCTTATAATATTTTAAAAAACGAAAATATTTAAAATGTGTTATTAAAATTAAGTTTATTCATTTATTAGACATGATGCATTTAAAAAAAAAAGCAAAAACTAGTTACTTGACATTTTATGTCTTGAAAATTGAATAGATATTAATTAATTGGAAGAATATTTTATAATGATTAGTTGAACGTTATAGACGTTATGTATATAATTTACTTATAAGTGATTCCTTTTATATATAATTTTTTTTATAGCTTAAATCAATGATTTTGTTTAACGATTAGACATTTATCTCAAATCAATTCTCATTATTATACAAATTTTATGTTAAAATGTACAATAATATATTATTGATTTTTTAGGAAAGCTATAATTTAATTTTTCATAAATTTATTCTCATATTCCATAGAGTTTTTATATAAACAATTTTTTTTCTTTTATTAAAATGGTATTTTTGGTTTATGCAATTATAATAAAATGATAACCATTTTATTTTTTAGGAGGAGATTATTCCACTTAATTTAATTTAATCATAATGATCATCAAAATAATCATAATAATATACTACAACTAATGTTTTTTTGTTAAATTATCAAAGAATTGATAATATTTAATAATTAAAAAAGTTTAAACGCACAATTCACACGCAAAAAATGCTTGAGAGTGTAACACTTAATAGAACACTAATCTAAAACAAATATAATGTACACATAAATAAATGTTTAAATTATGGTTGGCGACAAATATTCTTATCACCTTTTATAGATTTGTATAATGCTTAAGTGTGTGATCATAACGATGTTAAAATGTTAGTTGAAATCACGAACCAAAATAGAATAATCATAGTTCTTGGTTAAAAACAAATACTAGAACATAATTTAATATATTTTGTTATTCATTTACTTTATCTGTTCTATTTATATATTATGATAGATGACAAAAATTACAATTAATAAATATTAATCAAATCATTATAAAAACACTTTTTTATAAATAATATAACGACACACATTTTTTGAAAACATGATCATTAATTAAGGTACTGTAAGAATTTAAAAATCAAAGCAATTTTTTTTTTTACTTTTCAATTAATAATATTTTAAAAACCTACTTTTTTAAAGTTTAAGTCAAATTAAAGCTTATATAATTAACTTCATGACGAAAGAAGAAAAACTTATCCGAAATCACGAATTCTAAGAGTTATTTGGTATTAAAGTCAAAAATCATACAACTTTTGTTAATATTAGTATATTTTGAAATTTTTTGCGTAATTACAAAATGCTTACATCATTCTAAATTATTTTAAATTAAATATTATTTAATTGATTAAATAAAGGAAATCTTGCTGGTGACTTATCTTGGATTAATAAACCTTTGACGTCAAAAACCATGTAATTATGTAATTATTAATTTATTTTTAATGTGTTTCAAATACGCATGGAAGAGTTTTGCGGGGGTGATTTTAATGACTGTCAAATAACAATCAATTAATATCAAAGTTATTTTAAAAAATGGCTCAACTTCACTTGACTGAATCTCTACTTTACTATAATAACTTAATTGTAAGTTACCTTACATTAAAAAAAAAATTAACTTATGTAAATGCAATTGAAATAAAATAATATATAATTTTTTTTTTGAAATTTGCCATTTTCTTTGCATAGAAATAAATATTAGTGTTAAAAAAGATTTCAATTATGTGTCTAACAAAAGTGACCCTTTCAAAATTTCACATATTTGTACTCCGACAAAAACAATTCACAATCTTCGACAAAGCTTACAAGTAAATGAATATGTTGAATTAGTCTTAGATGCGTGAAAAGTTGGCGATATTATCTATATTTATTTGAAAAAGCACCCAATACAATTGAAATTTATACAAACAATGTAAAATTTATTTAATCAATATTAAAACGTAAAAAATAAATAAAATTTATATATTTTCACTTTATTATTCACTTAATACTATGTATAATAATAGTAATATTACAATTCATGTATCTTCTAATTTAAATATTTGAAAATTATCAATTAACTATTTTTACTTCAAATAGAATGTTAATATTTAATCAAAACTTTTAAATTCTTCTACATACATCACTTTGAGTTAATGGAAAAAAGAATTTTTTGAAAATTTCATATCTGTCAGAGTTTGATAAATGTAATTTATCCGTTTTTTGAAATTTACAAATGTAAAATTTGGGATGGGTTATTGTTGTCGGAGTTTACAATTTCATTAATAAAGTAGACAATTCTATAGGGGTTATTCATATCCTTTTTTTTTTTTTGACATTTTCCCTAAAAGCTATTGTTTGTGTTGTAGAGTATAAGAAAACTTAGATAAGCCAGAGTAACGAAATTAAACCGCGGTAACTACACACTAAAACAAGACGTGCTACTTATATCACTATGTTATCATAAATTATTAGATGGTTTTCTTCTTTTTAAGCATATTTGAAATATTTAATGTACTTTAAAATAATTTAATTTACCAAAATTTTAGGATTAATAATTTTTTCATATTAATTATGCTTAATAACTTTTTAAAATTGTACAAAAATGTCAAAAAAGGAATGTCTAAGAAGGGTTTATTCTCTTAATTATTTCTCATTTCACCGCCACTACACTAATTTTATACGAGGCTTTCTAAAAAAAGCTGTTTTAACTTATACTACGAAACTTATAACTCGAAGTTATTTATTTAGAACGATGCAAAAATCATATAAATATAAATATCGAATTGTCACTATTGTCACCGATGGAGGATGTTTAATTTTTTTCGGTGCTTGAGAAGCTTAGTAGTTCCCTCTTATAGTTTCGTCTGTACACTCTATCTTGAAATGAAATACTAAAAACATTTATATTTGTGTTAAAAAAATTTAATTAAAAATTTTGATTTCGAGTTTTAGATAATTTTATAAAAAAGAAATAATTTATTTCATTACCTTATTTTCCTTTCCCAAAAATATAGTTTGTTGTGTTGTTGTACTTATGAAGATATAACTCCCACGGTCCCCATACAAACTCTACCCCTGATTACTTTTTGAACTACTAAAAAATATGAAACATGTTGAAGGTTTTAATTAAAAATATCCTTATTTATTTTTAAAATACCATATTCAATAAAAGTTTCTTATTAATAAATTGTAAAAACCACCTGTAACTACCAACCATACTTCTTTTCTCATTGCAAGTACACCTCTAAAACTTAGTTAAATTAATATTTTTTTTCAAGATCTAATTTTAAATATCAATAAAAAGATGTGGTTAGCGTGTAATAATAAAATATTTTCTAAGCGAGTTTGATTTTCAATTACAAATGTAAACCGGTTTCATAAGATGTTGTAATATTTACTGACATATATACAATTTTAATAATTGCTGACCATAACCTAGAATTTTTTTTAGAGATTGTAAAATAATTACTTCATATGATTTATGTAAAAATTATTAGACTTTAATTAATAGTTTTAACGTACTTTTTCGTAAATAAGACAGTTGAAAATCTTCTAAATTAACATTGAATAAGTGCAAAACTCAGCTTACCATACTGAATTACAGGCATTTACAAGATAGTAAAATTTCTTATAAAAGTTTATTAAATATAGTTTTTGTATGTTCATTCTTTCATTTTCATCTGTAAGTCATTTATAACATTTCATCAAATTCCCGACATATTGTAATAATATTAAACTAGTATAGTATTAGTTATATAACTGTATTATAATTTACAAAAAAAAAAAACAATCGAAAAAAACAAAAATATAAAAGTAAATTTAAACATAGTAAGTAATTTACTATACTAAAATGAATTTGATGTTACATAATGGATGAATAATACATTATGCTGGCCAAAATATAGAAAATCTATAAATATCGATTGACTATTACCTAAGACGATTTTAACACTATTGATAGAATTTATATTGATTTATTTATATTAATGCTGTACGCAAAAAATGCTTCTGTACTGTTACTCCCGACGAACAATGTTACTTATCTGATAATTTTGAAGTAGGAAACAAATAAGCAACAATATTTTACAAACCCCTCTAATAAAAATAAAAATGTATCTATAACATGAACTTATTTTCATAATGGCGAGTCAAAATCTTTATTCCCCCTCTAGGCATCTTTGATTAGTGTCAATATTTTTTAATTTAACTTCAAAAAGGGCATATAAAAGTACCTATTTTATAGAGTAACCACAGGAATGTTACTTAAGGAAAAAATACTTCAATATGTTGAATATTTTGATTTTCTACGGAAAATCAAAAGTATAAAAAGATGGCACTATTAATTGAAACAAATTAGATCTTGTTAATTTGTTTATATCAAAAATTATACAACAGTAAAACATAAATTGCATTCATCTCAAAATTGCATTTTTTTTACATAAACCCTTCTAGGTAGGTAATAGTAGGTAAAAGTTGACAAATGTTACATATATAGGATTGTGAGGTAAAGTAGTATTTGTAGCGATACAGGGACTTCTAATGTACATATCTATAAATGTATAAAATATATAATTATTTTTTAGAAATTAATATTATCCTTTGTTCTATTAAAAATAAAAATTTTGTTCCTATTTCCACTTAAAATTTTATCAATTTTAAATGGAAACATTCCTCTCTCCCGGTTCCATATATTATCCTTTCCTCGACTAAGACTTGGTCATAATCGCCTTCCTTTTCATGCGTACAAAATGTCCCTTAACAATTCTCCTTTCTGCCCCAAACATGACGATGAAGTTCTCTGCAATTTTCCTCATATAATTTTTGACTGCTGTGCATTTGAAAGTAATCGTTCTATTTTATTTAATAATTTACCTCATCTTAATATCTCTACTATTAATTGTTACACTATTCTTAACTCAACTTCTCTCGATGTAATATCTTTAGTTATTTCTTTCATTCATTCAGCTGGTTTTTTTATTTAACGATGTTTACTGTAATTTTATTGTAATTTTGTTGTTGTAAGATCAATTGTACTATTTTTATTATTATTATTATTATTTTTTTTTTCTTTTCTCGTTTTATTTAATTGTTAAGCTATAATAATATTTTGTATTGAAAGCTAATAAAAAAATAAATAAATAAATAAATGGAAACATGTGTAATAACCAACTTATAAACTAGAAAGTTATCTAACAATGAAAATATCTGGTCGATAATAACTTTTGGACTAGAATTTTGAAAGTTAATATTCTTTTATACTTTTTAATATTTTGATTAAAGGTGAAATGCGGGTCTGTTTATTTCTAAGTCTAAGCATTAATGAACTGCAATGTTCCGCCAACCTTATAATAAAAATGTTAATATCTTGTAAAGTTGTTTTCTAGTTTGTAAGTTGGTTAAACATAAATGTTTCCATTTAGAAACTGAAGTTGATAAAATTATTAGACAATGTGATAATAATTAAACCATTTGTAACCAATATTTTTAGCTTTAATGCGAAGCTGATAAGGTAATAATTTTATCATGATGTGTCCGTCTATATAAATACTCACTCTTACTAGATCGATATTGATGAACTTATACGCCAAAAGAACACGATTTTAATTAAGTTATACATATCAGTATCAAAAATTGAAAAAAACCACTCAATTTTAGAAATTTAAAAAAGTATTTCAAAATTAAGCAGTAATCAAAAATCAGAAAAATCAGAAATATCTTTTGCATTTTAAAATTGTAATCATTTTTTTATTAAAAAGTGGAATTGTAAAGAAATTTTTAATAGAATATATTAGAAACAATAATTTTTCTTTTGATATACCATTTTTGAAAATCTAATAGAAAACTTGAGTAGAGGAAGGATATAAACGAGACCACTTACGCTTATACATTTTTTTTTTATTTTAATTTTTGATAATGTTCTGGACGTTGTTGTCCTTCAAATCTATATCAAATAATTGTTTAATGCTTGTATAAATTATCATTTCCAAACAGAAATTAAACAGATTCCCATTGAAGCGTTTTTATAATAGTAATATTATGACTGTCAAATATCATCTATACTTGTGCTAATTATGTCGCGATATACCGCGTCTTCACTATGCTGGAATTTAAGAATAACAATATTTCTATTTTTAAGCTTTGTAGTTTTTCTTTTTTATAGGATTTCTTTGGGGAATGTCAATTCTTTTTTTTAAGCTAAATAACACATTAATTTTACATTGTATTGATGAAATTAAATGAATTCACCACATAAATACCATACAAACATAATATACTCGTACTTCATTATACAAATTATCAATTTATTTATTTTTAGAACATAAAAAGGGACATTTGGTTCTATTTTAATTTTTTTGTGTTACTTAAGTGATTAACATGAGATATTAACATCTAAACAATTTTTCTATGTCGACAGAAAAAAAATTGAAGAGTTCTATATATGTGTCTGCTCGAATGAGTAAGGAATTTCTCACACTTACATAATATCAATCAGAATAGTATTTTTTTCCCAAGAATCAACACTTATAGTATAAGTAGAGTTAGGTAGTCATTTTAAGTTTTTTAAAGATTTTATTCTATTTACAAAAATAAAAAAATTTGAGTTTTCTTTCCATTTATTAGTAAAATGTTGTAAAGTTCTGCTAACATAATATTTGCTGGAATGATTTGATATTTGGCTAGTTATATAATATATTAGAATAGGATTTTCTGTTTAAAAATTAATAACCTATTTTTTTAAGGAGAGCCAGGAGGTCATTATCAGGATTTTTTTCAATATTTTATTGTACTACTCACTAACGCTAGTGAACAGTATAATAAGTCAAGTCGTTTATGTAAAGTATTATTCAAAAATAAGTTTGCATTTATTTAAAAAAAAATGTGTGAAAATTCTTAGTCAACCTTTTTTTTGCACTTAGAAATTAGTTTAAATAATTCTTGGTTGCTATAAATGCCTAAAAATCTCACAAGTTGAGCTGGGTACAATAAACATAGTAACAATCTAATATTGTTTATTTTGTTTTAGTTTCGATGCGAAGCAGAGAAGCTATTAGTTTTACACTGTCACATTTTTTAAATTTTATTTTGATATTATACACTATTACTCCGCTCTTACTAGATCGATTATTTAGCAAGGCTTGTAGGTCAATCAAACTTCTTGATATTCTTGTATCTAGCAATAAATTTATGTGAAGTTTTATTGTATTTATAATTTTGCTTGGTAATATCGTACTTAGATTTTTATTAGAATAATCTATAGGTTGTGGTGAAAGTATAAACAGTTATAAAGAATAATTATCAAGTATGATAATTAATGCAATGCAATGAAATAGTGTGAGTATTCAAATTAGTGTGCTACTAATTACATCAATTCATTTACTGTTACCATTAAGATTCTATAATTGGAACTCAAATTTTGATTTCGATATTACGATATTATGATTTTGAAACCCAACCCAACTTTTTTTAACGACAATTAGATGCAAATTTGATTAAATTTGTAGCTTCTTAAACTTGTACCCAGTATTGTTTAAAGTCGTAAAAATCTCTTAAAACAAATGATTGTAGAAAAAAAGAAGAATTAGAGCGCATTATCAATACACTTGTCTATCCTTTCATCGAACCTTGTATAATTAATTAGCTAACTCCTTTAAAAAAATTATCCTATAAAGCATAAATCAAATATTATTGAAAATAGATTCTTTAATTTCTTCTTTCTACTGGTAGTCTGTGGTCTAAATTTAAAAAAGCACTTAAGTTTAAAACATCCTTGCTTCCATTAAATAAACCTGATAATATTTTTGTTGTATCAGATACAGATAAAGTTGAAGTGTACAGACAACACCTGTCTAAAATTTTCAATTATCATTCTGATATAAATAATTCAGATAACATTTTTATTTTAATTGATTTCTAAACTCTCGTACACCATTATAACCATACCTATAACCTTATATTCCTATTTCCCCCTCTTCTGGAAAATTTCAAACATCATTCTTATAACAAAACCTTCCCAACCTATAAATCCTTTTCCATTTTTCTCCAAAGTTTTGGAGAAGCTCCCGCTAAAATTTGTATTACTGTCTATTGTAGAAAACGAGATTTTGCCGGATTCATAATTTGGTTTTTGTCCCTTCTATAATACAATATATTAAGTTCGTAGACATGCTGATGCCATTTCTTTTTCCCTTAAGCAATTGTATTGTATCAGTGCATTCCTAGACAAAAGTCAAGGCTTTGATAGGGTATAGTATAAAATAAAAAAAAAACCAGTACAGTGGGGTCGTGGCATTGTTGAATTGTTGCATTGGCAAACCCAACCCAACCAGTATAGATGATATTTGACAGTGATTAAAATCACTATCATAAAAAACGCTTCGATGCAAATCTGTAGATAGTGTTTAATTTAAAAAAAAAATTTGTCAAAAAAGTAGGTCAAATGAGAGCTGAGAAAATAAATGATAGCTACAAAAAAAAAACCACATAGTAAAATAATATTAATATGAATATCTTCTAACGAGAGAAGACTACAGTAATGGGATCCTTGATGTTTATTGAAGTTTTTGAATCTAAATGCGATAAAAATCAAATGAGTTAAACATTTTTTTCTAACTTAAAAAGAATTAAGAAAAAATTCAGCGCCACAGGCATGAAAGACCCAAGTGTTACCATCTCAGAAACC